CAGGTTGACATGTGTATTGTACTCACATGATCATATTATACTGTATACTTGTATAATTGTATATATTATATTTTGTAGTATGAATCCCACCTCTCATATCGAGTTTATAATATTATGTATTATATAACGATTAATATATCAAGCAATATCCCCGGACCCCCGGATTTTCCTCGCCCGTGCATGGACGATACCATATTGCGCGCAGCCTCGAATAACGTTCGAAGTTTAAAAATGTTATCAAATAAAGTTTGAATTTTTGTACTTACAATAACATTGTATGTTATATTGTTATCGTAGCATATCCTGCGGATGAGGCTCGCGATGTCAATCAACACCATGATACGATGACGAGTAACAGCGGTAACGGCCCCCAAAGCGTTGACGACATAAGTACCAACAGGGCATCGAGAACGAAAAGACAGGGTTCGTGGACGATGGTGTCGGGCCCGTGTCTGACGAGCAGAGGCACACTGGGCAAGTGCACGAGTTTTCGGGCGTGCTTTCCGTACATCAAAATGCCAAACTTTCAGTACTGGGACTCGTGGATGACAGGAATGTACGACACGTGTACTTATATAAGTATCGACCATAAACAGGTGAGTACATGATATTATAATACACAATGGTATATTGGTATCACGCGTAGGGTATCTGTCGAAATGTATATATGGAATTATATAAGTGTTTTTAGATTCTGATCATTGATTTTACAATGATGTGTGTTTTTTTTTTATTTTATTTGTGTCTGTGTACAAGATAAGTAGTCGAAATAATGCTTCGATTTTCAACTTCAGTATATCTTGTTCGATTGGAAAGTGAATATCGTTGGTGCATTGGGAGGTCAAAATTTAAAATTCCCAGTAATTTTCAAAATCGAAAATAAAAATTAAGGAAAAACGGGAATTTTTACGCAAAATCGATTTTTCACAAAATTTAATTTGGTTTTTGGTGTAACTTTAAGACAAATGACCGTAGTGAATTTTCCCTGGTTTTTATATTTGCATTTTCTATACAAGATAACATTTGCAAAATATTTTGATTTATTTTGAACTGTTTAGGGACATTTTCATTTTCCATTTTTATATTCTAAAAATATCAATAACATTTTATTTGTTGATTTCGAAAGCTTGGAAATTTAATAGAAGGCTCCTAGTATATTGTTTCAAAGGCAGATGAAAAATATTAAGAATCCTTAGTCACTGTTTTTTTTTATAAGCATTTAAAGTTCAAAAATTGACAAAATATAGAATAATCACGAAAATTGGAAAAATAATTTTGAGTTAAGTATTCGTAAAAATTTTGCTTTTTAAATCTAAGATTTTAAAATGTAATACAACATTCCTTATATGATTATCTACCTTTATCAAAAAAAATTTCTATAAGAAAGTCAAATTAAATTTTTATGAGAGTTTGAAATTCAAATTTTTACAACATTGGATATTCACTCGATTTATCATGTAGCGATTTCCTTATTTTGTTGTAATTCAAAAATAAATAACTGTAGATACATGACAATTTCACTAAATGTTTATATTAGCATTTTCTATACACTATACAATTTTGAAAATATTTTACTCGTTTTGAGCTGTTTACGGACATTTTAGGTTTTCAATTTTTTTATTTTTTTTTTACTATAAATATCAATAAAGTTTTATCTGTTGAGCCAAAAAGTGTAAAAATTTAATACAAGGCTTCTGATTTATTGTTACAACAACAGTTGAAAAATATTAAAAATACATAGGCACAATTTTTTTTTATAAGCGTTTAAAAATCGAATTTTGACAACATTTATCAAATTTAAAATTGAATAATTATTTTGTAATTAAAAATTTATAAAATGTTCAACAAACATCTAAGGATGAAAATTTAAAACAAGATACCACGTTAGTAGTTAATTCTGTTACCAAAAAATCTAAAAACTACATTAGCACAGTTTATTTTTATAGTCATTTTAAGTTCAAATTTGGACGAAATTACATATTAAAAACCTAGAATAACTATTTTAGTTATTTTGTTGTGGTTGTATAATATTATTTGTGGGAACTTGAAACTTCAAAGTACACTATTATACATTTATGATAGTATCAGGGTTTGTTGTTGATGTATAACGCGTTATAAGTACCTAATGGATATTGTGATATGATTAATTTGGAATTTATTATAGGTACCTATTATAGGTAATTTTTTTTAATACCATAGATATATGTATATATTATGTCTTATACCTAGACTCACATACCGTCTCCGATCAGAATCGTTTTTCTTATACAATGATTGAATGATATTATATCATTGAATTCAAATTTAATACCATCCATTATACAGTGACCCACTTGTAACCTACTGTACAGCAGAGCTCCTTTTTTACAACTAAGATTATCACCTTAAGGCTTAAATGATAAAATAGTAAAATAATATATTATAATGGTAGTAGATATAGGTACTTACCTAACATTATAATTTGCACTTAATATTTTATATTTTTAAAAATAAAATAAAAACCAAGCATTTTCAATAAAATGTTAAAAATAAACTGATGCCCACAAACAGTATTACATTAACGACTAACCGTATCTCGATCGGCATTTAGATGTTTGGAGTGTGCTGCGATCACCCGAGCTTCATCGGAGAGAGTCACAAAGAAGAAGGAATGAGACCACCCCCGTCGATGGTAATGCCACCAAATTGGCCACCACCTTTGCCAACGCATCCTCCAGACCACACTATTCCGCCGATCCCTACACATCCTCCGCAGACGCCACCACCAATGCAGCCATCGCCTCCACAGCAACCGACTATACCACCATGGCCTCCACAGCAACCGTCGATACCGGCATGGCCTCCACAAAAACCGACAATATCACCATGGCCGCCATACGATCATCAAAATGTCACTACTACTACCCAGCACAACAAACCTACTACCACAACCACCACAAGTACCACACCATCTTCCGTGGACAATGATGGTGGGTACGATTTTCAATGTGGGTTGAAGAACGGTCCACAGGATCAAGAGAGGATCGTCGGTGGTCAAAACGCGGACCCCGGAGAATGGCCATGGATTGTAAGTATACCTATAGGTAATATAGTAAATAATGCATATAATAAGCTCGTGTAATATATATTATATCGTCTACAAATGTCACGGTAAAATATCTTTTATGTTCACTCTTCACTGGAAATTGATGAAACTAGGTCAATCTGCAAAGTAGTCTATACGCTCATAAGCTTAATCTTATAATAACCTATACCTATGCACCTATATAATCTATACATTTTCGATGTCCGTCGCATGCACGGTACGATAATGTCTTAATCCCAATCGAAATAGAGAGATCATCTATATAATGTGAATATGTGATGATATATACATAATTAAAATTGCAAACATCATAATATGCTCCAGTAATAGTGAAAATAATTGTTTCACATTGTAATCTTGTCTATTATATATTTCATTCGGTAGTATTGTCTCGGCACTAGTATCACCGATGTATAATTTTTCGGCTGCCATATTATAGATCAATAGTTAGATAAGTAATGATTACTGCGTATCTGCACACTAACACATAGGTAGTTTATAGTGAATGCAAATCTAAAACGACAATGGTTCGTGGTTGTCTCACCGTTATTGTAGGTATTCATATAGGTATAGGTACCTATATTATGTGCTCAATATATAGGTGTTAGACTATGACGAGTTGTAAACAATTTTAGGTAGCTATATTCAACTCGGGCAGGCATTTTTGCGGAGGATCTCTAATCGATGACACACACGTGTTGACGGCAGCACATTGCGTTGCTCAGTAAGTATATTGACATATAGAACTCCATGTTTTTAAATGCTCGATATCGCCTTGTTATTCTGAACTTTGATTGCAGCATGAGTTCGTGGGACGTAGCTCGTTTAACGGCAAATCTCGGAGACTACAATATCAAAAGCAAATCTGACGTGAAACATTTAGAGAGAAAAATCAAAAGAGTCGTTCGGCACAAAGGTTTTGATCAAAGAACTCTGGTTAGTAAATCGTAGGATGTATCCTATATAGGTAGTTATAAACTAATAATTAATACAATTTATTTACGTTCGATAACCCATATTGTATTTTGACCTCAGTACAACGATATCGCGCTCCTGACTCTGGATAAACCAGTGAAGTTTGATAAACAAGTGCACCCAATATGTTTGCCGACGAGCAGATCTATGTACGCAGGACAGACGGCCACAGTTATCGGCTGGGGAAGCTTGAGAGAAAGTGAGTTTCGGTAGTTTCGGAGTAGACGCAATTTTCGCAATTTTCACGATTGAAAATCAACACGGTGTACTGTCTGTTTTTAGGTGGTCCGCAACCGGCGGTTCTGCAGAAGGTCACCGTACCAGTGTGGACAAATCAGGAATGCAAGTACAAGTACGGAAACGCGGCCCCGGGCGGAATCGTAGACCATTTCTTATGTGCGGGAAAAGCAGCAAGAGACTCTTGCAGTGTAAGTATAAAATCTTAATGCATATTAATATATATTCCGTACCTACTTCGTATTTAGTGAGTTTTCTTCCATCATACCTATAATGGTTTTTTGTTTTTTTTATTAAAACAGGGCGACAGCGGAGGTCCTCTTATGCTCAACGATGGTAAATGGACCCAGGTGGGTATTGTCAGTTGGGGAATAGGATGCGGCAAAGGCCAGTACCCGGGAGTATACACCAGAGTTACGAGTTTTATGAATTGGATTACAAAAAACTTAAAAACGTAAATTGATACAAGCATATAGTATTATACTTACCGTTAATAATTGTGTCTCGGTAAATTATTATTATATATATTTATATTATTATATTTTTGTACATATTTAAATTAGTATTAATTATATTTTTTATAATCTTATGTTCTTTACACTTTTTGTATTGTTCTCAATTTTATTTTATTTTATATTTTACTTCGAAATTAAATTATATACATAAATATGAATTATTATAATAAATTATGATGTATGTAATTTCAATTCGTAAAGATGCTGTCGTCTTTAATGACGAATCCTTTTTCGGAATCTAGAATTACCATGTCACCTGAAATTAAAAATTGAATCCTCATTTCAAATCTCGAAATTGATTTTGATTTTTTTTCGTCTTACCCGTTTTGAAATATTTTTTGACATTTTGCACTCCGACAAGACAAGGTAACCCGTATTCCCTGGCGACAACAGCTCCTAAATACAAATGCGATAATAGTGATTAATACTGTACGTAGGTCTTACATTATTTTGTTTTCATTACACACCGTGAGATATTACACCACCGATCTCCGTGACTAAACCGGAAATAATCGGGAAATATGGTGACCAAGCTATGTCGACAGATTTCACGATCAAAATGTCTCCCGTCCGCAAGCAACGTGCGTCTTCGATGTGCTCTAGTACACACGCACGGTTTTTAACCCGTCCAGGAAACACGCAACAACCTTTAAACCGTGTGGAACTGTAAACAAATTCCTGTACATGGAAATGTAAAACATATATACGTACAATTTTGAAGGATTAAAAAAAATGTATCAAATATAATATTATAGTATAATGAACCTCGTCTAAAAATGTTTTAGGAACAGGTGGTCCGTAACACACGTCGTCAAACTGCAACAAGATCCAATCGGGCCACAATTTACGTCTTTTCGTTGCTCTATAAAATTTAAGAAATTCGCAAGAAAAAAATTCAAACATATTGTGAATGACGTATTATTAATACTATTGAGGGAAGTTTATAATGATTAAAAATAAAATGGGTAGAAATAATTACTTTACTAAGTACTACCTAACCTTTACCTAGTAAAGTAATTATTTCGACTCATTGTATTTTTATTTTTTAAACATAGGTAAATAAATTATAAATACTATTATTAGTTTACATCCAAAAACCATACACTTATGATTTCGAGTAAAGATGACGTATTCCAAACGTCAAATACTTTTACAAAGTTTACCAAAAGATTTGGTATAAGCACTAAATAGAAAATGTTGATATAAACTTTTGTTTACAAATAAAATTAAATTGTTATTATAAATTTATAACAATTATTAAAAACATATAGAATTCTAATGTAATTATTGTGATGAGTACTTGGCTGAAGGTAATTTACTTCAGTATATTATCTTATTTAATAAACAAATAAATAATAAACAATTTCCGGTTTTTGGATATAACAACCTAAAATAATTGCGGGGTTTTGTCCTGCATATTCTCTTAAGTTTGAGGTTTTTGGATCTGACGTATTATTATAGTACCTATTTGTCATATAATTAAGGAGATTCGATACCGTGATTTCCTGTTTTTGTCTAACACACGCGCGACATATTATTTTAGACGTGTTTTTTGCCAAACATTCCAATTGACCTATTAAAGTGATAAGAATTCTGAAAATAGATTTGAATTTGTTGTCAAGTCTTCTTAAAATCGACTTTCCCAAATGTTTGATATTATCCCCCAATTTCCTAACAATGTCATATTAAAAAAGTAAATTTAAAAATTGTCGTATTTTAATTTTTGGAGATGTTAAAAAAATAAATCAAAAATGTGGGAAAGTCGGTTTCAAGTATAGACTTGACGACAAATTAAAATCAGTTTTTAGAATTCTTATCTCTTCATTAGATCAATTGATATGTTTGGTAAAGAACCAGTCTAAAATCTTATGTCACGTGTGTGTTAGTCAAAAACAGAAAACCGAGGTATCGAATCTCCTTAAGACCAAAACAAGCTCAACCTTAAGGTTAAGTTAGGTTAGCATAACCTTAAGTATCAATATCTTAAAAACTTTGAGCCATATTGAATGGGAGGTAGAAATTTCTTAATCCACTTAATATAATACATCTCTTGTTAGATCTAAATTAAACTATGCATCAATCTGTTATACCAATTCAAACCCTAATATTCTAAAAACAATCTATATAATTCATAACAGTGGTCTATAGTACCTATTTATAATCAACGATATTATACTACAAACACTTACTTGTACACTATTTCGGGACAATTATTGTTACCGCACATCTTTCTTACTTCGTACTGGGACATGAAAAATATAAGTTTTGAATCCGGTATTCTTCCTTCAGCCACGAGTTTTTCGCCGAGCTTTCGATAACCTAATCTTAGCTTGTGAGTGATCTGCACCAGCATATCTTTTGATTGTTCCCTATACGAAATGCTTTGACGATATTTCTTTAATAAGTAATCGAATATCATTCTAATGGAACAAAAAAATACATCATAAATCCGGCATTTCATAAATGTTTATAACTGACTAAAAATACTTTTGAATATATCCTCTTGACACAGTACTAGAATCGTTGTCTGTCGGCTTTTTATCGGATTGACGGTGTTCGTACAATATCAACGATTGGAGGCAAGTAAACAATCGGTTGCGATCGGTCGACCATGTTTCTGAACCAAAATCTAACTATAAAATCAGCAAAAGAATAGATGATTCTTAATACTAACAAGAGTGATAGCTATTAAAAAATAAATTTCGATTAGTATAATGTCAGGAAATCAATAATTAAAATACGTAGCAAAAATGTAATATGATTATTTTATTTTAGTATTGCTGAATCTATAATCAAACTATTATATACGCCTATACCTATAGTAGGTATTGATAATTGAGTCATATAGTTTTAGTTAATACAATTCTTAAGAACTTTTATTTTTTCATAAATTACTATTGGTACTTAGTAAGTATAAGTCAAACCTCTTGGACACCACGGTGCCCATATTTTTGAATGAAGTCTTCCACTTGATCATAACCTTTCTCACAATTTAACTTTAACCAGTCGTTACAGTTTTCAACGGGCAAATCGCAAAATTCTTTTTTTGAAGACATTTCGGAAACAACGCTAGCAATAGCCTAAACAATATAATAGAGTTATTTAATGAAAAAATAAATCCCAGTATTGTATAATATGCTCATAGACCTTACTTGAATATCTTTTAAGATTGAAACGTTTATTATGTCTGGTGTATCAATTGAGGTCGCTAAATTGGATAACGTGTCGATCGGTGAGTCTAAACATCAAAATCTCAATAGTTTTTAATCGATAATATTATAAATTGTATTTGTGGAAAAAAATGTAATGATTAGATAAGTTTACCTTTATTGAAACCTAGTCCTAATATTGCTAACAGTGTATGTGATATGATATTATTCGTGCTCGATGCCACGTGGCAAGATGTGACCTTTAAATAAGTCGTTAAAAAAAATATATTGAAACTTAAAAAATATTATAAAATGATGTACAATACCTATAGGTAACCTAACCTAACCTAACCTAACCTGTATATTGTATACTAATGCAGTGTTGGGAATGTTACTTTTGTTAATTAAATTACATTACGAAATATCTTTCAAAATTACTTTTTAATATTTGGTCAAGTTACGTTACTTTTAGGTTTAAAAAACAAACCTTATTACAATTAAAGTTATTTTTTACTTTTTATTTTCAAAAATATAACTGCAGCTTAATAATTATAGGCACTAAATAACGACATTAAAAAATATGAAATTTTTTAAACATTTTATTTAAGAACTATAATTTATTGTTTAACAAATTGTATTATTTATTTTAAATAACAAAGTATTTTCCAAATTAATATACTTATTAAAAATAAAACTTCTTTTGTCAAATTGCTATTACAAAAAAGTCTACTGTCAGAAAATCGTACGTATATGATATATTGACTTGACATAATATTATGATATCAATTGGTTCTTAAAATGTATTTAAAAGAAATAAAGTAACAACTTACTGCAAGTTCGTAATTTTAATAAAAATAGCATTATTAAAAGTATAAGTATAATAAGACGTAATTAATTTACCATGAAATTACTTAAAAAGTAATTTCGTTACAGTTATAATTTGTAACTTAAGTTGTTCCCCAACACTGTAATAAGAATATTATTATATTGAATATTGTTTAAAATGTATATAATACCTTTTCTAAAACATCCACAACGCTATTGATATTGTTCAAAAGATCCAACGTCGTGCCTGACTGTTCTATGTTTGCATTGCAAATCAATTTGTGTGTTTCGTTTATTTTCGATTCAAGGTATAGTGTTTCCTAAATTATATTTTAAGAGTTTTTCAACACATTTTAACATGTGTTCCATATATACAAAGCAAATACCTACCTTAAATGTAGAAAAAGATTTCAAAATTTTTTTTAACGCAGAACTGCGATTTTTCAATAATATTTTCTCCCAGATATTACTTGTTAAGAAACATTGTCCAGCTATCGAGTACTCAATTATCTTAACGTATACGCTGCCAGGTTCTAAATCTTGAAACATCTTCCATAAAAAAAAAAAAATCGATGAGATGATTAAACAATTTAGTCAATATACAGGTTTATAAATTTAGTTAAATTTGCAAAACGTTTTGGTTTGTTTATAGGTACCTACTTGACATACGTTAAGACACATGTTGTTGTGTGTGTAGGACAACTGTTTGTTGCGGTAGATCTCAGTGGGCTCTCCTTCGGTCAATTTAAACAGTGGGTACATTGAAAAGAAATCCAAAGTCAACGATAAAGTGTGCATAGGGTTGGGGTAGACTTCTCTGAAATTGGACAAATAACTGTGTTAATTTCAACATACTGTTTTCTGTATTAAATATAATTGCTCTGCGATCTAACTTAACGTTATAAAACATAACCACGTCGTCGCTCGTAAATGGCGAGTCAAATTCTCGAGTTATTTCATCGTTACTCCAAGCGAATATGGAAGTGATCGGTCTCGACTGGAGAAGGTAAACTTGATCCTGTTGGTGGAAGACGATAATTAATAACTGATGTTTATATAATATATAGGGCTAGTTGTACTGTCTACGGTTAAGCTATGATTAAGCTTAATCAGCTGAAAACAGATATTGAAACAGGCAAATTTATTCAGCCGTTTAAACTCTGATTAACTTTAATCATAGATGGTACAACTAGCCCTAAGTACCTAACGTTTGGTTTGAACACTGCAGCAGTAAACGGTTAGTTATATCCGTATGTACACAATAATAATTGATAATTTAATAATTATATTTTACTCGTAATTTTGTAGCCCATATGCGTATATATTATATATATAATATCGTTAGGTTTGAGTTCATATAATTCGGTATCGATATCTATATACTGCTGCAGCGTGCAGAGATACAATCAAGGGCTTATTTTGATGTAGGTACATACAATTTCAAACAGTGTTCAACTATTGCAATAATTAGTAAATTCTGAAACTTATTTGTTTATACTTCAAAACTGTTTTGTAAAAATCAAACGCAATAAAAACGTAAAAAATAAAATGTAAACGACGTCCTAAGACATGAGAACCTTGGTCGGAGTCGAGCTTTGTATAAAAAAATCAAAGAACAATTAACAAATAATTTACGCAAAACGAATACCTCTACAGCCACCCATTCGATGTCCTGCGGCGAACCAAACACGGCTTCCACTCGGACGCAGATGTTAGCCAACTTTTTCGCCAAATTATCGGAAATACACTTCAGCGGTTTAGCAACATCGTTATTTTCAACTCTAAAATCTGCAATTCATATACGCATTATAATATTTATTAGTGTTATTATTAATAGTGGCATAAACGCATGGCGAGCCTGTAGAATTAGGTGCCAGACAGCAGTATTTAATTTTTTAATTTTTTTTAATTTATTTATTTCAGCGTAATTCAATTATAATACAATAATAACAATAATAATATTAAGAGCTGATACGTATACCAACTGAGCTAAGCTCGTATCTGGTATACGAAATATATAATTATAGGTAGGTAATAACTAATAAGTAATAATCGTACAATTCTCAAGTAATAAAACTATGAATTTTTGATTATAAAAAGTATAAAAAAAATCGAACATGAAAAAAATATCTGAATAAAGCATCTGAATTCATATTATCAAATATAATATAGTGGCTTGCAGGCTAGGCGCGTTGGTTGCTTCCAGTCGCTGTTACTAGATGGGTGATCACCCGTGTTCGTAGTAGTTAAGACCTTGCCATCACACATACACGTGTTTGCTTACCTACTGTGACAACCGTAACAAAACCTTACCGTATACCAACCATACCTACCACAGTTTATAACCCCTACAACAGCAAATGGTCAACAATGATTATGTTTATTATTAAGATCAATAAAAAATGATCATCAATAATAATAATAAAAATAATAATATATTTATCATTATAATCTGACATTTAATTTATTAGAAATTCCTATATATATATATATATATTATATATAGCTTATAGTGAGTTGGAAATTGCGTATTATAATACGGTTATAGTTTATTATATTAGCAATTATTTAATTTTTTTTTGCTTTATGGACCATTAATTCTTTTTGCAGCTTTTAATCAGCCCCTCCACCTGTTATGTTCAATAGCAGTCTCAATATTAGTATATAAGTATATTACACAAATATAAAGTTTATAATAATTAATAAGTAATCCGATTTCGAATTACCTAACCTAAACTAACGGTCAAATAAATAATATATTTACTTGATGTTGCCTGCAGAAGTTCCGCAGAAGTAGTGAAATTGTCATCGACTGCCTCGAACTGCAGTCTAGAAACAACGACCTCGTGGGGTTCGACTGATCCCGACACAACGCCCTATAAGAAGTAGAATGTTAGTTTAGGATTTTTTAGACACATTTACTTATAGTTACAACTTACAATGTATGTCTAAAATTATGTGTAGTACGACTGTAGGAGTGTACGACACAATTTGTATATAGTGTATGGTACAAGATTACGAAATATTAAGTGTGAGTAATCGAGTACGAAATTAAAATGTGTGTAGATACTGTCACTGTGTAATCGTGTATAGTAGACTTTTTAGTATATTATACAGTATATTTATAAATATATTACTATATATAGTAAATAATATTAATATTTTAATTTTAATTTTAAAATATAACTATAATAAAACGTAAATGTATGTTAGGAAGACATTCTTCAGTAAAAGGATTTTAACAATTTATTGTTATTTTTACGCTATGGTTTTAAATTTACCACAACCATTGAATTTAGATATTTTAGCAGTGTTGGGAAAGTTCCTTTTAAAAAGGAACTCGTTCCCGTTCCTCGTTCCTACTGTAAGAAAGGAACTCGTTCCCGTTCCTCTTTCCTGTCCCGAAAAAAGAACGCGTTCCCGTTCCTTCATGTTCCTTTTTTTGCAATTTGAGTGGTGGTCAATGGTGTATTTTGCGAACAATTTTCAAGTCAGAAATAATCGAACCGAGAGAGTTAACCGATTATTTCTGACTTAAAAATTTTTCGCAAAAAACACCATTGACCACCACTGAAATCGGTTAACTCACTCCTTTCTAGGAGCGGCTCAGTTTTGGCGCGGAAACACACTATATGCGCTTCATAAAATATACTGTGGCACTCAACGTGTTAAAAATAAATATATTTATATATTTTTTTTTCATTATTTGAGGAACGGAAATTTTCGTTCAAGTTCCTTCAAAATAGGAACTCGTTCCCGTTCCTCGTTCCTATATTTTAAATGGAACGCGTTCCGAGCTTCGTTCCTATAAAAGGAACGCGTTCCTTCCCAACACTGTATTTTAGGCTATGAATGAAATGATGGGGGCCCTTTGATCTCGTTAGTGATAGTGCATTTAATGGTAGCTACTAACTGCGGCCTATATAGAAGTACCCCCCCCCCCCCCCCCCCCAGCAACAATAATTACGCATATGGTTACTGATTAGGCTTACCACTTTTTCCAGACCATAACTCGCGGCTAAGGTGATCTTCCCGGGATCTCCGGTGTTTGGGTCTCTGGAGAACGCGACTCCGGCCACTCCTGGACCGCTCACTTGTTCTTGTACGATTACGGCCATGTCGCACATCAACGGCTGTCCGTTGTTCCTGCAAAAACGGCCGAGGTGATAATATTTTATATTGTACAGAAAAACCACGATTATAAGGCGTCCATAATGATGGAAGTACACGACGGTAGCGGTATTATATGCTTATATTATATACATCACATTGTTTAATATTGAGTTGATTTTATACCTATATATATATCGAAATAATGGAAAAAATGACTCTTAGGTATATTTAAAAATTCCAATAATCAGTGTTTGAATAAATATACATTATTAAAGGAAGTGATGGAGGTGTGCATGTCTGGTGAATCATACTGGGTAAGTATTATATAATATAATATAACATACCTATATTGATGTATATTTATATTAATTATTACAACCAATTTGCAAGTATCCAATTTAGTAAAAGGGTGTAGGAGAAATGCCCACACAGGTTTAAAAAAAAATATTTGGTTCTATAGTTGCACCCATGATTATATTTACGCTTGTACAACGTACTTTCGGTACGTCAAAGCTCGGGCCGAGAAATTTGACGACCAACATTCTATAACGGCCTCCACGATGTTACAAGTACGACCATTACAGCCTAGAATTGTGACGTATTGGCCGGCAGAGGACGTCGATTCACCGTCCTCGAACGTTCCAGACGAACGGACGGCGTACACACGGTCTTCGTTTACGCCGATCGAAATCGCCTCCAGCAACTTAGCGCACAGTTTCGTCGACCGCCACTGATCGTTCAACCTAAACGGGACAATACAATACAATATTATCATCTATATATACTAATAAAAGACAATGTTTGTGTGTATAACTGTGTGAGCAATCTACAACCAACAGGGCCGTATTTACACTTTTTGCGCTCTGGGTTAACAATATCGGTACCCCCCCTCCCAAAAAAAAATAAAATAAAAATTAATCCGTTTTTTAATTTATTAGTTATTTATATTAGTTCTTTATTTATGAAAATGATGTTAAAAACACAGATCACGATGTTACATTATTTTAATTATTGTCAAAACGTATAACAACATACAATTGAAATCCATATAAAAAAAAGGTGGGCAAGTGGGTGTCGCTCTGCTGTACAGTAGGTTACAAGTGGGTCACTGTATAATGGATGATATTAAATTTGAATTCAACGATATAATATCATTGTATAAGAAAAACGATTCTGAGCGGTGACGGTATGTCAGTCTATGTATAAGACATATTATATACATATCTATGGTATTAAACAAAAAATTGACCTATAATAAATTCCAAATTAATCATATCACAATATCCATTAGATACTTATAACGCGTCATACATCAACAAAAACCGTGATACTATCATAGATATATAATAGTACACTTTAGAAGTTTCAAGTACCCACGAATAATATTATTCAATCACAACAAAATAACTAAAATCGTAATTCTTGGTTTATATTTAAACCATATTGTCTAAATTTGAAATTAAAATGTCTGTAAAAAATAAGTGTGTTTATATATTTTTTAGATTTTTTGGTTACAGTATGAATTATTTAAGAGAATCTTTGTTTTAAATTTTCAACTCTTAGTTATAAAAACTGAACATTTTATAATTTTTTAATTCCAACGATTGATAATTTTCGAGATTTTGATAAATTTTGTCAAAATTCCAACTTTAAATGGTTATAAAAAAAAATCGTGCCAATGTATTTTTAATATTTTTCAACTGATATTGTAACAATATATAAGAAAGCTTGTATTAAATTTTCAGACTTTTTGGCCCACCAAATAAAATTTTATTGACAATTATAAAAAAAAAAAGTAAAAAAATTGAAAACTGAAAATGTCCCTAAACAGCTCAAAAAGAGTCAAAATATTTTCAAAATTGTATGGTGTATAGAAAATGCTAATTTAAACATTCAGTGAAATTTTCATGTATCTACAGTTGTTCGTTTTTGAATTACAACAAAATAAGGAAATCGCTACATGAGAAATCGAGTGAATATCCAATGTTGTAAAAATTTTAATTTCAAACGCTCATAAAAATTTAACTTGACTGTCCGGTAGAGATTTTTTTATTGATAAAGGTAGATAATCTTATAAGGAATCTTGTGTTTCTATTTCAAATCTTAGATTTAAAAAGGAAAATTTTTACGAATTCTTAACTCAAAATAATTTGCTAATTTTCGTGATTTTTCCATATTTTGTAAATTTTTGAACTTTAAATGCTTATAAAAAAAAATTGTGACTAAGGATTTTTAATATTTTTCATCTGCCTTTGAAACAACATATTAGGAGCCTTCTATTAAATTTTCAAGCTTTCGCAACCAACAAATAAAATTTTATTGATATTTCTAGAAAAAAAACTAAAAAAAAATGAAAAATGAAAATGTCCCTAAACAGTTCAAAATAAATCAAAATATTTTGAAAATTTTATCGTGTATAGAAAATGCAAATATAAACAACCAGTGAAAATTTCATGTATCTACGGTCATTTGTTTTAAAGTTACACCAAAAACCAAATTCGATTTTTTGGAAAATCGATTTTCCGTAAAAATTCCCGTTTTTCCTTAATTTTTATGTTGTTTTTCCCGGCGCTTGTGAAAACTACTGGGAAATGTTTACTTTTGACCCCCCAAAGTACCAACTAGATTCACTTTCCTATCAGAAAAGGTACTATTGAAGAAAATCGAAGCACTTTTACTGTCCCAAAACGTGATGACAGACACAAAAATATAAAAATATAAAAATATAAAAATATAAAAACACACATCATTGTAAAACCAATACATTCATCGCTCCGCTCAGAATCTAAAATGAATAGTTATCATTGATTGATAAAATGAGTAAATAACGCCAAATGGCCGTATCATAGGGATGCAATGCAAAAAGTACAAGTATAGGTACTCAAATAAATTCTTACTAAAAAAAAAAATGTTAATTATATAATACACACCGGCGCCTGGTCACCCCCCTATAAATGTGTCAAAAATTAGTCACCCATGGAAAATGTCCCCGTTGCCCCTCTTAAATACGCCCCTGACAACCAAGTCTATCGTACTCATTATTCTGAAATTTGGTACATGGGTAATCCTGTACCGGAGGCCGAGGATGTGTATCTTGAAGACAAAGCTTTCAATTTTGAAAAGGGGCTCGCGCGTGGATTTCCTGACTCACGAAAAACAAATATTCTTTTGTTCGTATAGGGTTACAAAAAATAAGATAGTTATGGCCATTGGATGTAAAGTTTTGACTTGTATTTGGTTAAAACGACCAGAATAACTGTGTAAAAAATCTGTGAAATTTACGTTTAACATAGTTCAAGAATGTGTAAATCCACGGGTATTAAAATTGTCACGGGCAGCGCTGTGGAGAATCAACTAGCTATTATAATGTAACGCATAATATTATGCACCTATATACAGGCTGTAATTGGTATAGATCAGAATAACGGAGAATAATATTTTTTTCTACTTACCGCTTACAGTAATCCGCCAACTGTTCGAAATCGCTCTGCTTTGCTTTTTCGATCGCGTTGTCTAAATCGATCGACAATTTTTTATTTTTGTTTATATGAGTTCTCATCGCCACTGTCGTGATGCATATACCGTCCGGGACAATAATCTTCAAGTCGAAACAACATAAAACATGATATTATCATAATATATTAAAACCATTAAAGCAAATTTCTCATAGATTTCGTTTTCAATAATCCAAAGCGTATAACGTAGTAGGTAATACGCGTTTGCGCGTGTGTAACTTACGTCTTTAATCAGACCATCAACGATTGCTTTTTTTAATTGGAACAAAGATTTTGCTTTGTTCCCTACTTTAGTGCTGAACAAGCACATCTCCGAGGCTAAGCTTACTGTTAAGCCAATCTTATGATCCTTTGCAGAAATGTCTTCTGTAGATTTTACTATCTTGTCAGTTTTTTGTACATCTCTGAAAGTCCATAACAAATGTAATTATACTTTTATATTGTTCTTATAATAGGTACGGGTAATTAATAATATTATGAAGATATGAATATATATTAGTCACATAGATACAAGATGACAGATATTATTTTTATTGTTTTAAGTTTTTTATGTGTAGTATTGTGCATTTGTGCCGTTAAAAGCCGTTTAAAATATTACTTGAAACATAGAAGTATTCCTTTAAATTCGTCTCCAAGAACGATTTCAATTGATACAGTATTTAAAATGACAGTTGCTTGGCTTTTTAAACTTGCATTTAAACTGAAATCTATAGCACAAAAATATAAGATCATTGAAGCAGTAAAGAATTTAGAAAAAAAAAACGTTAAAATATAGAGTAGGTATATGTATTCACTTTTATGATGTATTTCGATTGTCGGATTGTCGTTTTCTTCACTTACGAAATATATTCCATCGGGTGTGAGTATTTCGTGTTCTGAAGACGTTTTTAAATGGCCACGGAAGTTTATCCTAAATTCAGCGCAATATTTATAGTACAAAACTAATTAATTTGAATACGACCTTATACCTTTTATAGTTTATATACCATAGTAAAAAACCAACTGTAGACTATAAAACATTTTAAATTCCAATGACCAATTACGACACCTAATACTTTTCACAATATTATAGAAAAAAAACTAATAGCTATTTATTACCTTTCTAATTTCTGTATAGAACACATTATATCACTGTTCATAAATCCAACAAACGCCGAGTCTTCGACTGACATATTCCACCGTCTTAATTTCATTGATCGCATGTTAATAATTTCTGTTTTACCGTCTACGACCATCGAACCGGAAATTTGACCAAACTGATCAAATCCCAATAAATTGTTGATGCTAAAACCATGTTGTAAAATTAAAATATATAGATCCTAATACGTTACAAGAAGTGGCGTACACAAGGGGTAATGTGGGGGTCAGATCCCTTCCTCATTGTTTTTGGAGTGAATAATCTTCCATTGATGTGAATTTTGAATCAATTCAAATTATATTCATTGTTCCTTATTGTTAAATATTTTACTACCTAAGTAAAAAGTTTTGAGAGAGTGGGGGATTTTCCAATTTTCCCCTCGCATTTAGCTATGTAATTTTTTTTTGTCGATCGCCCCCTTTCAGAAATCATGTCTACGCCACTGGTTACAAGAAGCATTTATACTAGTCCGGATCTGTATGGTCGATTTCATGTTTGAAGAACGTATTATTTTTATCGCAGTACACTGGAAATCCGAATGGCTTCCATCTAAAAAATTAAGGAAGAATAAATCAAAATGTTACTATATATAACTATATATATTATATATGTGTGTACACATTGCTGACGGTATAATAATAATTACTTATTAGGTAGGTAACAACTTTTTTAAAAATTACTTATAATTTAAAATAGGTATTTAATACCATTTTCAGGCCATATATTTTGGATAAGAAATTTTTTTTTATAAACCGTATGGTCGGTAGCCGGTAGGTATGTATCTAAATAAAAATATAGCTATCAACCAAATTAAAAAAAAAATATTTATGATAAAACTTACAAGAAATTTATCTTCACGTGACAATAGTTCTCACCATTTCTATATATATATATATAAAAAAAAAATATATAGTAGGTATATGTAAGTACTTATCTTTTAATTTACATAGTATAGGTAATATAATATATATATATTCTAACCTTAGACGACCACTGAATACAATTCTCCATGTTCGCATAGGCACTGTACATTGAAATTGGAGACTGGGTGTTTTCCAACTAGAAAATTCATAAGATCCTTTATCCGTTTCTAAAAGAAACAAAAGCAAGGAAAATGTATACTTATTTGTTGTTGGCTTATTAGTTAGGTATTATTATGCAAGGTCGTCATCAGTGAAATGTCTTCATAAAAAAAAAACAGATTCGTGATAAAATTTAGCAATGCAATTAATTGATAGGTAATCAATTCTTATTTGAGACATATAATTTATTTTATGTAAATTAAGATAAGTATATAGATACCTTGATTTGTGAATTCTAGTCCGGTAGGATCTCGGATGTGTATTAAAGAGTTAGATTGTTTTAAATTATAATTTTGATTAACGCATAATATAATCATATTTCCAATTTTGTCAGTACCAAAAAATACCATTAAATCTTGAACCTCCTACACAAACATAAGACGTAGGTTATTAGTACTATATATACTTAGGGCATTATTATAAACTATAAACGTCTCACATTATTTCGTTCATGATCCAATGAAATATCTGATACCGTAGGCGAAGAAAAACATAATCGTTGCCGAAAATGGTCCATTTTTATTATTTCTTTATTAATTATTCTAAAAAATATAAATAAAAGTAATCTTGTATCTAAATCTATAGATATTGCATTTATTAATAACCATAGTTAAGAAATTTCTTAAATTGTATTATAATAATAATTAAAATTGTATGAACATTTTTTTCTAATTAAGGATACTTTTCTATTCCCTCTTAGCCTAAGGTGAAGTTCTATTTGTATCAATATGATAATGCATAATATAATATAATTTCTAATTTTGTCTAATTTCAGTTATTAACTGTAGAATTTTGCTGCTATAGTGCAGAACTGCAGATATAAGGTGACTGGTGAGAAGGAATCTAGATGTCTAGTGGTGTGCGAAAATTGTAGGTATGCATTTTCTAAAAGGACATTTTATTAGGTAGGTAGTTAATGATTTGAGAAAAGATTTTCATTCAAAAAGTGTGCCAAACCATAAACTCTGTTGAACTTGTTTGAGTAAACGTACGTTTAACCTGCAATATAAATAAAAGTCTCTAAAATACAGAAATATAATATGTAGTTACATATTACATATTTTTTTTTATGAAGCTATTATTATTATTGTATCATAATATTCATAATAATATGATATAATAAACTCAATAGAAATATCCCGATCTAAATCTTGAATTAATTGTTCATATCTTACATATACTAAAGCAAATAAAGAAAGCATAATATATTAATAAGTGTCAAGTATGAATAGTAGAATGTTGCCAGTTGCATTAGATAATGATAAGATGACAATATCGTCCACTAATTCTTGTTTATTTTTTATGTTTCCCCAGTTTTGACGACAAAGAACAAAGATGCCTAACTAATTACAGTTGTACGTACCTAAGTAAATATTTTTGGTTCCTAAACCATTTAAACATAATATGTTGCTATATACCTGGCTATTTTCTATAAATGTACGCATTAGATGCAACTACTGCCAATATTATAGTACAAGCAAATAAGATTGATATTATAGTATTGACATTATATTATATTGACATTGGCTAATCATATGGAAATTCGTGATTTTTTCAATAAATTAGGAATATTTTGGTAAATTATGTACGACAATAATATTTTTGAATGTATTATATTAATTCTAAAAATTATCACTATATTAGGTTTAATTTTTTGTTATGTATAAATATTAAATACCAAACATTTTATTTAGCTGATAACTCACTGAAAACGTAGGTGTAAGTAAGTAGTCAATAGGTACACATAATATAGTAAACGATTCTAACGTACACTTATGACGTCTCTGAAAAATTAAATAATATAAGAGTATAATATAGGTATAACAAATAACTGAATGATTAAGTTTTAATTTCATGAAATAACTCGATAAACGTATAAAATATAACATACCTATGTATACAGTACAGGTACCTACATATTTTATCTATAGGTTAGGTTACCTATACTTGTAGAATGTTTTAAAAAAAATGTTAAAACACAGTCTCGGCGACAACTATCACCGTACACGAAGACGTTCAGTATATAATTGTCGGAAATCCAATTCTCGACGATTTTGAGTCAGCATTAAAATGTAAAAGAAACATTGAACACGAATTATTTAAATGATTGTAAACTGGCCCCACTGTTATTATATTGTCTATATAGGTACTTTGAGAAACTACACATAAGCTAATCGTCGTTTGGTAAATACATTAAACATGAGTGGAAAATATGCGTAATCGAATTTCGACAGATGCATTAATTTCCAAGTGTTTACAGATAAAAAAAAAAAATCACACATTCAAATAACAAAACAAAAACTAATTTTCCTACTCTCTTTATAGTCAAAGCACAGACAAATAGATTAGATACTATTGTTTGAGACTATTAAGTTACATATTTTATCAAGCTGTCGAGAACAACATACAAATATGCAATTCAATCGATAATATTATTGACTAGGTAGATCATAGCCCGAATTCATAGGTACCTATATATTCTAAATAGCTGCAGTAGGTGGAATAATAATATTTCAATTGTTTCATAATATATACCTAAATACCTAATATATATACTCCAGTGATGCCCAACTTCTTTATTCGAAGTGCATACAGTTTACAATGTAATATCTTATTTTTGTTTTATTTCATACTATTTATATTAGTTATCACATTTAAAATTTTAATATTTTGGAAATAGTATATTTTATATACACAAATCTTTCCAGAAGTTCCATCGCTGGATGGATTCTTCCTTCAAGCCTCCGACACATCACTCCCATAACGCTTGTACTTATTTTAAAAAACAACATTTACAGATTATAACAAAAATAAAATTAAAAAAAGGTGGGAAAGTGGCGGTCTCTCTGCTGTACAATAGGTTACAAGTGGCTCACTGTAATGGATGGTGTGAAATTTGAATTCAATAATATAATATCATTGTATAAGAAAAACAATTCTGAGCGAAGACGGTCAGTCATCGGATGATATTACTAAGTATATTTGATGTCTTGATGATATTATTGCGAATAAAGTAATTTATATGTAACCTATTTAAGTGGAACCTATTGTTTTAAATCTTTAGTCCTTAGCTATAAAATTTGAACATTTTATAAATTTTTCACTACAAAATTATAATTAAATTTTAAATTTGAACTTTAAACGCCAATATGCCTATGTATTTTTAATATTTTTCAACTGCTGTTGTCAAAATACATCAGAAGCCTTGTATTAAATTGTCAAGCTTTTTTACCGAACAAATACAATTTTATTGACATTTATAGAAAAAAAAAAAACTAAAAAAATTGAAGACTGACATGTTCGTAAACAGCTCAAAAAGAGTAAAAATATTTTCAAAATGTTATGGTGTTTAGAAAATGAAAATATAAACATTCAGTAAAAGTTTCACGTATTTTCAGTCATTCATTTTTGAATTACAACAAAATAACAAAATTGCTACATGAGAAATCGAATGAATATTCAATCTTGTAAAAATATGAACTTCAAACGCTCATAAAAATTTAATTCAACTATCTTATAGACATTTTGTTTTTGATAAAAGTAGATAATCTTATAAGATATCTTGTATTACATTTTAAAATCTTAGATTTAAAAAGAAAAATTTTTACGAATTCTTAACTCAAAATAATTTGCTAATTTTCGTGATTTTTCCATATTTTGTCAATTTTTGAACTTTAAATGATTAAAAAAATGAAAAAAACTGTGACTAAAAATGTTTAATATTTTTTCAAATGTCATTGTAACAATATAGTAGGAGACTTGTATTACATTTTCCAGCTTTTTTTACCCACAAATAAATTTTTATTGACATTCATAGAAAAAAGACGAATACAATTGGGAAACAGAAAATATGATCCTAAAAAGTTCAAAACAAATCAAAATATTATGAACATTTTATCGTGTAGGTATAGAAAATGTGAATATACACAACCAGTGAAAATTTCATGTATATATACGTTCATTTGTTTTAGAGTTACACCAAAAACCAAATTCGATTTTGTCAAATACTGATTTTGAGTAAAAATTCCAGTTTTTCCTTAATTTTTATGTTGTTTTTCCCGGCACTTTTGAAAACTATTGAGAACTTTAAAATTTGACCTCCCAAATGTACCAACTAGATTCACTTTTCCATCGAACAAGATACTGTTGAAGAAAATCGAAGCAGTTTCGCTGCGCTCAGAATCTAATATAGGTACACTGTGGCATTTTTTCAAATGTAGTTTTTATTCTGCTTTTTCTGCTCCTTTCGAAAAATATATTGAAGTTGAAGATAGAATCATTTTTTTTGATATAAAATTAAAGGCTCATGATACGAAAGAATAAAAAATAATAAAACTCAATTATTGTAAAATCAATACATTCATCTCTCAGCTCAGAATCTTAAATGAAGACACCGATTATATTCATAGAGTTAAAATTCTGGGGGGAAGGGGCTACATCCCACCTAATAAAACGATTTTTTTTAAGTTACCCATAGGGGGCTTATATCGATATCAATAAGGTTTTTTTTTTTTGGAGGGGGGGGGGCTAAATCGTAGTCATGGGGGTCGTACATTGCATGACAAATGCATTGAAGAACCTACTTCTTTTATTCTAAAGGTTTTGTCAAATATAACGCGTTATAACGCTCGTTAAAGGCTTAAAGCGGTAAATGGCTCGTCGGAGTGGCGCGGAATAACGCGGCGTTGTAACAAATTATAAAATCACGCGTCGTTAAAATAACGCTTTCTGTTTGGCAGAGCCTTAAGTTGGCTATTAAAAGTAATTTTCAAATTACTATTTTAAATTATTCCATTAAGTTTAAGCAAAAGATACCCAACTACATTTAAACTTGTTATCACTGAGGTATATTTTCACGGTTACAACGGGATTAGTTCGGTATTCCTTTTTACTTTTTAGGCGTCTTGGAAGATTACTTTTCTATATAATAAAAACTGAATAAAGTTATTTAATTAAAAGCAAAAAATTCTTATTGGTATCCACAGGGATACAGAATAAATTCAAATAGGGCCCAAGTACATAGTTGATTGGTATTTTGACCAAATATACCCCCCCTCCCCAACCGGCTACTCGTAACACATGCAAGAAGCCAAGAACAATATTTTATCATTTACCTGCAGCAGGTGGTGGCTAAATTTAATGTAAACTCTCGGTCAAAAAATAACAATTATTTTAAACGTTAAAATATAACGGAATTCCAACTGTAGTTACATACACAAATTGTATGATTCAAAAAAATATGTTAAATGATTCGGACGATCCGGTGAGTTTGACGTTAGTAATTGGTATTTAAGGAAAACGGCGTCAAATGTTCTTATCAAACTAAACAAAAACCGGCTCACTGCTAGCGCTTCCAGCGGAACCTCTGGTGTACTATAAACATAAACAACAAAAATGGTCTGTTACTCTGTTCCATAGTGCTGTTGACTGTTGTCAGTAAGGCGCGATTTATATAATATTATCTTAGAATTTAGATCGTGGTCATGGTAAAATGTTATAGACTATAGTGCCCGATCACCACAATTTATGTTTAATAATAAATAATATCTATAAACCCTGCCGGTTGCCGGTATCGGACGCTAAAATAGCCACTTTATTAATCAATATTAAATATGTCAACGAGAAGCCAAAACGCAATGAGTTTCTCAGAGGTAAAAACTAAAAACTATTTTAAAATAATCATGGATCTTAATAACAAATTAATACATTTACTTAATAATCTTGTTTTATTATACTTTAGGAAGTACAACGGCACTCTGTTCATACACTAGTTTTTAGGTCACTCAAAAGGACTCATGATATGTTTTTATCGTGTCAAGGGATGTTACCACCAATAGACGAAGAAGCGTAAGTTGATTTGTGCACTGTTTTGTAATCAAACAATGTTATATACCTACATTTTTTTATTATTACGTTTAGGGAGAAAATAAAAAAACTCGTCAAGGCTCGAGATTGTTATGGTCTTGTTTTTGACAAAGTGGAACGCAATAAGATAAACATGAAGAAGTCTCAACCAAATCATCCTAAATCAGATAGCCTTGATATCTATAAAGATAATCACCTTCCATTAGCCATAAGTAACGATACATGATTATTGTTTGTTAATTATTATTCACTATATCTAATTATTTTTAATTTTTAGCTGATAATCCTGAGAAAGTAAATAAAAACACAGAGACTAGTATGGTGTTATCGAGTCCAAGTACACAAAACATAGCTGCAGCTAATCGACTGATTAATCATATAATGCCAAAACCAAAATGGCATCCACCATGGAAGTTATATCGAGTAATATCTGGACATTTGGGTTGGGTGCGATGTGTTACTGTTGAACCTGGCAATGAATGGTTTGCCACTGGTGCTGCTGATCGAGTTATTAAAGTAATATTACAAAATTAATTTCATTATATTTAATATTTATTTGTATTTAATATATTTTTTATGGTTCCAGATTTGGGATTTAGCTTCTGGAAAATTAAAACTTTCCTTAACTGGGCACGTGAGTACTGTGCGAGGCTTACAAGTAAGTCCTAGACACCCTTATTTATTCAGTTGTGGCGAAGATAGGCAAGTGAAGTGTTGGGATTTGGAACATAATAAAGTAGTTCGACATTATCATGGACATTTGAGTGCGGTATACAGTCTTGCATTACATCCAACGATTGACGTATTATTAACTGCTGGACGAGATTCAACAGCTCGAGTATGGGACATGCGTACAAAAGCCAATGTTCACACACTCACTGGACATACAAATACAGTGGCCAGTGTTGTTGCCCATGAATTTGAACCTCAAGTATAATAGTTTAAATAAATTATTTATTTAACATTATCGATATTTTTTTGTAATTTTGATTTAATATTTTTGGCTTTTGTTTAGGTATTGACTGGATCTCACGACTGTACAATTAGGCTATGGGATTTAGCTGCTGGAAAAACTCGTGCAACTCTTACAAATCACAAAAAAAGTGTGAGGTCACTTGTTTTACATCCAAAAGTGTAAGTTTCAAATATTATCTAATATTTATAGAGCCGTGATGATTTACTTATTTGTTTGTTACTATGTGATTTTAAGGTATATGTTTGCCAGTGCAAGTCCAGATAATATAAAACAATGGACATGTCCAGATGGGAAATTTATACAAAATCTTACTGGTCATAATGCTATAGTTAACTGTATGGCTGTGAATTCTGATGGGGTATTGATGTCTGGAGCAAACAATGGGTCAATGTATGCTTGGGATTGGAGAACTGGTTATAATTTTCAGAGGATGCAGGTATGTAATTTGATGATTATGTTATGCACATTGTAGCCATGTAAATTATGTTGATGAATTATTTATATCAAAATATATTGTGTTATTTTAAAAGGCTCCTGTACAACCTGGATCGATGGACAGTGAAGCCGGAGTATTTGCAATGGCATTTGATAACAGTGGTACAAGACTTATTACAGCTGAAGCTGATAAAACTATAAAACTTTATCGAGAAGACGATACAGCTGTAAGTATATTACTAAAAGTGTCAAGGATAAATGATAAACTATTGGTTTTACTTTACTTTAAATACCATTACTATCTTTGTTTTCATATGTTGTCATGTTGTACAATACTAAAACGTTTAAAAATTATTATGATACATTTTTTAAGTGATGGTCCAATATGATTTATCAACAAACATAATCTATTTCAATGATTAATATTTCTATTTTTATGATATTGTTATGAAGCATTATTATTTATTATTGAAAGTTATAGGTGAAGTTAAATTATAAATTGAACCTAACATTTTTATATAATTATATTTTAAAATTTGTTATGATTAAATTTTTAAAAGTTAAAAAGTTCAAAAGGAGTAAATTAGACCTATTCCAAAAATAATTCATCGTTCAGTTTTTCTTGAATGAATGTTTCCAATTATAATATCTTATCGGACATTTGAATATTTCTTTGTATACATTTACTATGCAAATAGTGTATAGTTGTTTGATTATTTGATTATTTGATAGTAATAACTTATCTCTTTATATAATTAACAATTTCATGTAGTAATAATTACCTAGCTAAACTTAAGAAGTTTAAAAATAATAATATTTTTGTATTTGTTTTAGACTGAAGAAAGTCATCCAATTAATTGGAAGCCCGATATTATCCGAAGAAGGAAATATTAATATTTTTGTAAACAATTATTGACAAATAAATTTATCGTTTTTGAACGATATTATTACTGACAAAATTATTTAAATTCTATTCCATTAAAAGAAAATCAAGAAAAGTTCATAAAATTCATCTTTTGTCTCATGAAGAATATGATTAATTGTATATGGTTTTGCAACAAATTATAATTTTTCTAAATTACTAGTGTCTAGATAAAAATGTATAGTACAACCAGGGCCGGCCGTAGGTTTTTTGCCGCCCTAGGCAAATCTGATTTAAGCTGCCCTATGCAATAGTTATTTTTTTGGAGAGGAGTGTATTGATAAAATAAGGACATTCATTTTTATCTATGAACCCTTGTTTAATTAAAAAAAAATAAAATGTTTTGACTGACCTAAGTTTTCTTTACAAAATACGTTTTAATTTTTGTTTTCGATATGCAGCTCCTGATAACCGTATACGTTTTTGCTCTGACATATTCAATAAATATTAACGTGATAATTTAACAAAATTAATACCAATTAAGTGTTGCAGTTATAAATTTATTTTAATAAAAATTGTACACGTTCACGCACTTGGTCTACTATCACTATCCCTCTACGGCAAAAATTATTTACGTGTTCGGCGGGCGGCTGAAAGTCCGGGACTAAATGCCGTTGTGTCATTGACAATTATTTTCCAATTAAATAATAATTTTAAACTCGATAAGAACGTGCATTCGTCTGTGGTCGACTAATGCATGTATTGTTATCGCCGTTCTATTTATATTCATGCAGTATTACGACTTTAGTGCGTTCTCGGTAAACTTTTTTTGTATATTTGAGTAATGAACATACAATTCAGCAGACTATATTATATTATAATTTATAATAATTAAATCACTTTGGTTCATTTGAAATTTGCCGCCCCCACACTAGTGCCGCCCTAGGCGGCTGCCTATTTTGCTACCACATTGAGCCGGCCCTGAGTACAACGTACATTGTACATGTCTATAAAATAATATATCAATTATCATAACTTTTTAATACGTTTTTCTTCGTACTCGAGGATAGTGGTAGATAAATATATTTTTATTTTTGGTAAATTCCCTTGTTATATACCCGGTATTTTGGATAATTACTTCAAACAAAAATTTTTCAATAACATTTGAAGGGTTACGGGGAAAAACGATCATAGTCAAAAGGAAGAAAAAAATCAAATAATTATGGTACCATTTGGTTAGTTTCATAACGAATCGACACGTGAATCGAGTTATGGAAAAATGATCTCTACAAATTCTTACCCTTAATCAATTAGTAAAATTATTATATTACTTTAAATTTCATACTAAATTAAACTCTCTCAGTAACTCATTTTTCAAACAACTATTCTTCATCTCATTTCTCGTTAATGTAAGTAGAAGACTCAAAAGACAGTGCCCTAGAGACCTACTAAAATAAAAATATAAAACAATAGGTAATACCTAAAGGGCGTAAAGGCTAAAAGTACTTGCCCATAAACACTACCTCCTGTTAATAACCATGTATCAAATTTACCCATTTTACTAATTCATTGTATTGTATGGATTGTAAATAAAAAATACATTCAGAATCTAAAAGTAGGTACAGTGAAACATAGATAACTTGAATCGGGCATGGACAAAAAAAAAACTAGTTATCGAAAATTTGACTTCCAGAAGTTTGAGTTATCGAGGTTCCACTGTATTTATAAGAATTCCGATTCAATTTTTAAATTATGTATGTAAATAACCACCAAGTCTGGAATAGGGACTCTATCAAAGGTTTAAATAAAAACTAAGGTATCAAATGAACATTAAATATTGGCACCCTATGTAAAAAAAAAAGTATTAGCACAAAGACGCACATCCATTCTATATTACATTAAAACTATTATTTTTTATAGTAAAATATTTTGTTTTCCACTGTATTCAGAACAGATTAAATTAAATTAATTAAATCTACTAATGTACTAGTGCCCTGGTTAGGTTGGGTTGGGTGATATCAAAAATTGGATTACTATAAAGCATCATATTTATTTCAATAATTATAAATTTATAATGAAGGGAACAGGAAAAGTTAAGGCTTAATATTATTATTTAACATCATAATGAACATTATACCGATTAATATTTAATATACAAAATACGGTAAAAAAAAATACTTTTTATAAAGTATGATGCACCCGTTCTGCATATAATTATTTAAAGATGTAAAATAATTTATAGTCCATACACATCTCCATTTACATATACAAAAATAATATACATCTTTCTGTATTTAGAGCATACTATATTTGGTTATCAACAATTTTCTTGACCTTATTACAATTTATATATGTTTATTTGAATTACAAATTTATTTAGATGATCATGAGCATCACTATTGAAAATTTAAAAATAGAAAGAAAACCAAGACAACTAAAAAGAACTTTTTTATGAATGACTACTTAATTAAATGTTTTTAATATACCTACCAAATTATAACATAGTTGTTATCATTATTGTCATACTCATATAATCAGTACTAATATTAATTACATTTATATTAGGTAAATCGTATGGTACTATTTATTAAATGTATTTATAAGTATTAGACAATAATCTTATACATATGAGACAAATTATTATAAGACTTGATAAATAAAGTTTAAATATTTTTAAAATAAATGCAGAGCAAATAAAAATTTGAAAACACATAGAAGTTTGAATTGAATTTAAACAGATTATAAAAGTATTAACGTCGGGGTGGTCCACCACCTCGCCCACGTCCGCCACCACTTCCACGTGGTCCTCCACGACCTCCTCGTCCTCTAGGACCTCCACGCCCACGACCACCTCTTCCTGGCCCTGCAATAATAGATTTATTAAAAAATATTTTATATTTTTTCTGAATTAACATATTTTGATTAATTTAGAAGTACTTATATACAAATATATACAAATACTAACCTCCACGACCTCCTCGTCCACCACGGTTCATTCGTGATTTGGGTGCATCATCAACTAACAGGGTTTCAAGTGTAAGAGAGTCAGGTAAAATATAGTACCGAATGTTGTTACCTCGAATACTGAGTGTTTCATAATGTATAGGTTGTTGATTTCTTACAGTCATTTTAACAGCTTTAAGGTGAGTGTTCATTGCTACATCAACACCTAAAATTATATAAACGTTAAACATTTATTTGCATATTACTAAAAGAAAAAAAATATATATTGTCAATAAAATATAACCGAAATATCATATACAGATTGTAAGTTTAATAGTTTAGCAAGCTTATATTATATATTAATCTCTAATATATGCAATAATTTATGATTTTATTTTTTAACTTTCTTAAAATAGAAAAATTTAGCTTTTATTATTAAAACTAACAATCACAATATAAGGCTAGAGTATTTAATAAAATATGTTCCAAATGTCTAATCATTGGTTATTTTTAATCTAGAAATAAAAATACCTCAGTTTAAGATAATTTTAATTAATGCATTTGGACTAATATGATATTGTATATTTAGTATCTTCAAAAATAATTTAAAGTTGACATTATAATAAATTATTATCAACATTCTCTAACCTTGATCAAATACATTTTGTGAGTTATCTAACATGTTGCGATAAGTTATGGTGAGTGTCGCATTTAGATATTTTGCGGCTCGGTGCAAAAAATTGCTCCCCCCTAAGGGGCCTACTCACAGAAAATATGGGAGATGGATCCTCCTCATTAACCTTTTAGATTTTGAGCACAGAAAAGAATATTTGTTTTACAATGTGTGCTTTTTTTTAAAAAATATTGTTTAGTAATTGCTTGATCATCTCACCGCAAAAATACATTTGAATTTATGTCATTTATAATTTATCATATAAGTTGTTTTTTTTTTTAACATATTTAAGTAGGTACTTCATGAATAAATATAATGCAATTATATAAAACTATGTAAATTAATATTAATTAAAAAAATGTCAAACAGCATAATACTATATAATACTATTATATTAAATTACACTGTTATTAAAATAATTAAAATTATAACATTTTAATAATTCACAAGTAAACAAATTTCTGACCACAAAATGTTGGCGCCCGGGGCAGTGTACCCAGCGCCCAACATCCAGGTTATGGTTATTTTTGCATTTGTTGGAATATATAATATGTACATTATATACGTTATACATCAGTCAATTCTGTCTTAGTTGAAATTTAATAAGTTTTTAGGCAAATACAAAATAAATATTCCTAATATTAATTTCCAAAAAACTTTGTTTGTCTTACCTGTAATAGTTCCATGAACACTGGTGCCATTTTTAAGTTCTAATGTCACAGTTTCATGGCTGAGTTTCATCAAAAATCTGTAATACAATAAAAATATTAAATGAATGTAAAACTACAATTTAAATGTAGTAATAGTAGTTTTACATTTTGAAAAGTAACTAAAATATAATACCTATGCTTTATAAATTATAATTAACTGACGATTAACAAATTTGTTTTAATGTAGTTTTATTAGGTACTTTAAGTCATTATTTCATATTTTTATAAAATAACAGTAATAACGCATATAAAGCACTGCATTTTTTAATATGTTTACAATAGTTGTGATTATTATTGAAATTAAAATTGTAAACACATCTTGAAGAACTCCAAAATATGGAAATATATTATATTACTTAAATTGTTCGTAATTATTTGAATTAATTATAAAATTAATTTACTCCCATTATCCATTTTGTTAATCTAGTCCTATGGGACTATAGGCACATCAAAAATACACATACAAATAAGAAGGCTTGTTTAACAGCTAAGCACAGAAAGGTAACATTTAAGTTTTAGGATTTTCAATTTGAAATTAAAATAGCCTTTGATTAAAGTTATAATGTTAACTAGTTGTAAAAAGTAGTATATAAGTACCTACTTATACAAGTATAGTAAACAAAATAGGTAATATAGTAACATAGCCTGTTAATCAAATCATTTGAAGATTTAAATTTGTGATAAGTAAAGACGAGCATGGTATAATTAGTTAATATTTAATATTATACTAAACTAAGAAATTAATGATACACATCTTACAGAATCAGTATCGTGTAAACATGGACAGTCAAAATATAAGAGGCGACACTATTAATGATGTCATCAGAAAATGCTTTTAACAATTTATGTACGCAATTTTGAAATGGAAACCAAGTGCTTAATAAGAGGTCAAAATTATCATAAGACCATACGATTAATAACCAATTGACTGGTATTGGAATTTATAAATATTAAATATTTAAGTTACTACGAAATGCTAAAATATATTTTAAATATAATATAGGTAGGTACATAATGTTTTTTAGAAGACCTTGTTTTTCAGTTTGGGAAATTTATGTCAGGAATTTAAAATATAAGGTAGGACCCGATACATATTAATTGTTGTGTACCGAAGCTGAAATTGATAATATTTTAAGTGAAATCTTTAAAATTAGAATATATATATATAAATTATCCACATACTCATTTTAGTCTAATATGTAATAGGTACCTAACCATACAGGTAATATTAATAATTTAAGTCTGATTGACTATTTGGTAAATTAACCTGTAAGCGGGGTTCACATTACACAATGTAGTGAAATGTAAGGTAATGTGGTGCCAATATTTTGTTACCAATATATTAAATAATATATTAGTTTTGAGTGTAACCAACAAGGCATGCGTACATTTATTAGGTAGTACAGTTGACGAAAAATTATAAAATATGGACGACTACCTAGTAATCAACACGGCTTGAGTGGTAAACTAGTAGACATATCAGCTATTGATTTATTTTCATGAGGTGTTCTATCTGATACAGCAAAATAGTAATTACTTGACCATATAAATAATGTTAAAAACTAAATAAATACACGCAATAGCTCCCAGGATTCAAATTATTTTTCGAATAATTCGATCTATTGAAATACCTAAGTAATACACTACAGGCGTCAGCGCCTAAAACCAAACTATCAACTTACTTGACTAATTTCATGATTAGGTATTTATATTTAATGTAAAAACTATAAAAGCTTAAGGCTCACTGCTCACAAGTCACAACAACAGAATCGGTGTTTAAAGTTTTAGAATCAAAACATTTGTCTTTTTGGAAAAAGACGGGAAACTGCACGTGATAACTGATGTTGTCAACGAAAGATGCCGCAAACCAGGGCTACCACCATCACTGATTGTGAACACTGAGGGCCAGTGTTACCATCTCCGGTTAAAATTAACGGACACCTAACCCATAAAGGACGGATTAATATACTAATCCGTATATTAATCCGTGCCCATAAAGTAATATCACAGAACAATAATAACAGTAATATGGATAATAAAGAAAATGAAGAAAAATAAAAAACTAAGAATATTATTTGAATAAAAATATAAAAATTACTTTCTGAAGAAAATTGTTATTACCCTATTAAACACATATAAATAACTTTTATTAAATGATAAAATTAAATTTTTCAACCGTTCCAGATTTGAAAGGCCATTATTATATTTAGAACTGTGTTTATTTTTTATAATGCATTGACATAAGCATTTTATTCAATACATAATAATTATTGCAGCCAGTATATATTTGTGGCTGGTTTGAACGATTCCCATTGATCACTACATGAAAATAATTTAAAATTTAATTAATTAAAATAATAAAATACACACATAATACCATGGCTAAATGTATAGTGCCATATATATATTTAGCCATGCTACCGCCCAAGGACACAAATCCACACTAAAGCCGCTGTAAGACTTGCCATTGTACATTTGTACACCATAGTCCATAATATTATTCAATATTTAAATTTAACATCCAATATCCATACTAGCATCTACACAAATGAATATGTAGTCCTTCATAACTTAATTAAATAGTACATTTTTTTTTTGTAATAATACTGTTTTTATTATTAACTATTTTCATTTATACTTATTGTTTTAATATAAGCAAGTGTAAATTATTATAAAATATAATCATAATCCATTATACAACAAAAATAAAATTTGTTAATTGTGTTGATGAATGAGTTGCTTTTAATAAACTGTTTAAATTGGTTATTATTATTATTTAAATAACAATAATAATACATATTATATTGAAGTACAATACACGTTTTATAAATCAAAGTAAAATTAAAATGGAAAAATGTATAACTTCTGAACAATACCAAGTGCTTCAAATGTTACCTATACTCTATTCAGAATAAGAAAGGTACCAAGTGACTAACTTGAGGGCATAGGTGTGGCTTTATTCAGAATGCCAAATCAGGCGGTTGACTTAGTGGGAGAAGCATCTGACCGCCGCCGGAAGAAAACTGATCACTGCCCGGTACATTTCTTATTCTGAATAGAGTAATCAATTATTGCCCAAATTGGAAGTTAAACTTTTATAAATAACGTTAAAAAAAAAATAAAAATGAAAGAAAAATAATTGAATATAATATTAATAATACAAAAAATCACAGTCTAAACAATATCCAGTTGGAAAAACTCAAATTTTTAAGTGTATTTCCTATTTAAAATAAAATTTTTCCAAAAATTTAAAAAATGAGGATACTACGCCCTCTATTTAAGAGGCTTTACAGACAATTTTGAGTTGTTTATCTTAGGCATATATACTAATTTAAGTATTTTAAAATGGTCCCATGTCAGTACCAACAATGGTTGTTGTCTAATGAGGATTATAAATAAAAACTGTTATGATCAGGATAAACTAACAAGCATCTTATTTAGACTCGTGACTACAGTAGATTTACCAATTAATCACACTATAACAAGAAACTTTATCTGTGTCAGTTTTTATTTTTTCTTAAATAAACACTTAATCATTTTTAACAAAAAAAAAAAAAAAATGTTTTAACACAAAACATATCTTCTATTTTATGGTAAAAATTTGGTAAGGCTGGTATGAATACTGTCTCCGTAAGGTTGTGCAGCATAAAACCATTTTCACAGATAAATTATGGGTGGTGTGGTCCTCCTTTTACCACTTTTGACATGAGATAACGATATCCATTGTATACATGTTTTCATAAGCTATTGAAATTGGTGAAATTATTTTTTTTAAATATTTTTATTGTAATATACAAGTCAAATAAAATCCTTTTTTGAAAAACTAAAAAAACATGCAGTTAAGGGTTAATGTACTAGTTTAAAAGTCACAATTCAGTATTGAGGGGGTTCTGTGACTTAAAATAAGTTATAAAAGTTTAAATTTATTGTAATTAAAATTCTCGTCTATGATATTTATCTGGTTCCATGAAAGAAGTAACCACAACTCTGTTGTTGAACTTTCGGCCTGCCAAAGCTTGTTGTGCTTTTTGACAGTCAACAATAGCATTGAACTCTATAAACACCTGAAAAACAACATTTTTCAAAGCTCTATTTTATTAGAAAATAAAAAATTTAAAAATAATACTTTTCCGCAACCAGGCACATCAATTCCTTCAATAGGTCGTGGAATTTCTAGTGACCGAACCACGCCATATTTATTACACTCTTCACGAATATCTTCCAGAATATCTTCATATTCTTCTTCATCTTTTAGTTCATCAGGAGTTACCATATTCAGTAAACATAAAACCTGTAAATTATTATGATTTTAAAGATATTTACTTTGTATGTTATTAAAAAAACATTTACCTCAGTGGGAGGTCCTGCAGTTCCAACAACTGTAAGTCCAGGGACTTGAATCGTGACAGGTACTTGACCAAGCCCAGGATTCTTGGCCCCAATACTCGCCCTCTGTACAATTAATTTCTTTTCTCCTAATTGCATACCATTCAAACCAGCAATGGCCTATACTTACAAAAATGTAATAATTAAATTTGTGGAGAACAATGACTAACAATGTAGTATTTGATTATAAGTAAATTATTTTACCTGATCAGTCATCACTACATCAGCATACTCGCAGAACGCATATCCTTTACTTAAACCAGTGGCAGCGTCCTTGACCAAATTGAATGCTTTTAACTGACCAAAGGATGTAAGTAGTTCTTTCACCTATCATCACGCAAATAAATAATTTAAAACCTATTACATCCTGTTGGATACTAATTAACCTTTAAAAATATTTGTTTAGGACTCCCATACTATTATTCACTTAATAATAAACGGTACGCAATTTAAAAACAAAAAAGATAGAGAAAGAATTAATTTATTCAAATCAAGTGTTCTATAAGAAATTTTGAACTTGTTTTGACACTTTTATTTTCCAAATATCTAAGTACAATATTATTTATCATAAATCTGTTAAACATTGAACGTACAGGTTATATTATAGTTTTAAACATTTATTTACTTTAATTTTAACCTGTTTTACAATTACTGTTCTTAATGCTTTATCATAAAATTATATAAAACATTAATATATTATTAATTAAGCAGATCTAATGCTAAATATTCTTTAAAGTAAACCACTTTAAAAAATGTTAACTAATTTAGTTTATATTAATATTTAGTTGTAACCATTTGCAAAAAGTAAAAATGTACCCCAGTCAAATTTAGTCTAACATTAACATGCACTTTAAATTCAGTCAGTCCTAGAGAACGGGTGGCTGCCCGTAGAAACATTTCTAAAGACCTAATTATAAATGTAAATTTACAAAACCGTGCCTGTTAAAATTATATTACGTTTCTAATGCGTTAATACCATTCAGTATCTTTCGATAATATAACTGACTGTAAAAAATTTTATAAACGTTTCTGTCATTACTTTGGTATATCATTGCGTTTTTGTAGTACCTTTAATTTTTACATGGGTGTTGTTAGCTGTAGCTGTTTAAGTCTGTTATTATTTTTTATAAGTTTTATTCATGATGACCAATTATACTCTGTTCAGGTTAAGAGTGCCCAGTCGCTCGGACGAAAACTGGTTCTGTTCGCGCATGCATGGGGAGCGCTTTGGTGTGCCGACGCACAACCATCTGTATATAGACGGCGGCACGCCTCCGATCCAACAGTCGACGACGGCGGTCAACAATGCTGACCAATCACAGCGCGTCTGCTGTCGCCTGGGGGGTCTGACAGCTGTCGGCGGCTCAGTATGCATGCGCGATTTTGGGCACTCTTAACCTGAACAGAGTATAGAGAGATTGTTAACGGTATTGAACATTGTAAAATGTTTTGAAATATGTAAAGGATCACAATATCTATTTTATTTGTACATTGTACTGTATACTGTTTAAAGATAAGTTGTTCTTAGCATTATAGATAAATAAAATAATCTATATTAGAACAATTATATGTTGTTCAAGCGATGCTAAAAATATTTATTTTAGCAAGTTATTATACTGAGTTTAAGTTTACCCCAAAATAAAGCGGTATAGGAAACTGCGAGAGTGGTCATGAGTTTATAATTTAATAAATAGTTAATTCAATCTGTTTAAATTTTGATGGTGTTTTTTCTCAAGTAGAATATCTAAAATACATTGTATTAATACCAAAAATCATCAAATTGGATATTCAATTTTGAAATCTAATTTTAAATTTGTTTAAGAAAAATAGTTATTGATTATTTAATGTTATTACTTATTAGAAGTTATCAACTCATTAATTGGAGTTTACATTTATAGTATATTTTATTTAATATAGTACATCATAAAGACAGATATTTTATTTAATCTTGTTAGTTGTATTTATATTATTCAAGAAAGCATAAGAACAGTTTATTCCTTATGACACATAAGTAGATAACCAATGTAATATTCCGAAACACCACTTGCCTGTATGTCGATTTGGACAGACGAAACAGTTGTATCAGAGTTTCATTTTCAACCAAGTACTCTAGCTAAGGGCAAGGGGTATAGCAGAGGAACAATTATTAGCTTTTTACTGTTTCATTAAAATGTCTCAAATTTTTTTCTTTTTTTTTTTTTTTTTACTTACATTTGTTTTCAGACAGAAAGAAAAGTAAATGTATCACAAGCATAATGAAAAGTCAATAAAAGACTGGCAAGGAGAATCCATGTTCTTACGTCGACCCTAAATAAAAACCCCAAGTCCCTGCAAATCTAAACTGTTATATTTTAATACACAAAACAAGAACATATTTTCTGAAAAAAACAAAAAATAAAACCTGAAATGTATGTGCTAAAAATTAAAAAAAAAAAATTAGTACTATTTTTGCTTCTTCTCAAACCATATTTTTTGTATTGACCTAAATGTACCTCTGCTAATGATGGACCACTATGCTAAAAATAAAGGGCTGGACTTTACTACTGAAATAACTTACCTGTTCATCATTAAGGTATGCTGGTAATCCTCCGATAAATATTTTGTGTGGTGAATCTAAAAAACATAACAATGATTACAATTATTAATGTCTAAAAATATTAAATTATTACAGGTATTTAAGGTATAAAACAAACCTGGAACTGTTCCAAGACCAAATGAACTGGAATCATATTTCACTGTAAAAAAATTCAATTTAAAATTATATTTTGATCCCAGAGAAAATAAATATTCCCATACTCATGTCTAATGTCATTCCAGAATTATAGTTTGTCACTGGATTACTCTCGGTCATTCCAGGTGTTGGCTGATAATCATGTGGTCGTCTTATTTTTAAGCTCTGACCTTTGAAATTAATACCATCAAAAGCCATTGCTTGAGTGGTTTCATCAATAGACCTAAACTATAGTTGAATAATTGAATGAAAATTAAATTTTCATTCAATTTTATAATAACATTAAATGAAACATGAAAGCTATACATACCTCTAAAAATGCAAAATTTTTATCTAAATTAATTTGACATGCAAGCACCGGATTGCCAGCAGCTTGTGCTAATCCAGACAAATGCATTTGCTGATTAAAGAACTCCATCATTTCATCCTAAAAATGTATTAAAAATATGTGAATTTGTTAGAAATTAATAATAATTACTAATCAGTAATGATAGCAATACCTCAGTTACACCAAATGGTATGTTTCCAACATACAGTCTTCTTGCTTGGCGTGTAATTGTAGATCCAACGACAGGGACCGCTGTTTGAGGAGTATCTGGCATTGTATTCGCAGGAATTTGTCCAGCAGCTAAACCAAAAATAGGTCAAATAATTTAAATTTGAAAATTTTACTTAGCATTCAGAAACTAATAAAATCTGTTAAAGTATTCAACATACAAAACGGTTCTGAATAAATATGTGTAGGATCAGTGGCGTAGCCAGGGGGGGGGGTTTTAGGGGTTCAAACCCCCCCCTTGGCCTAAAAAAAAAAAGGTTATCATAGAATTTGTTATTATAGTTAATATATACTTTAAGTTTTATTATATGTATAAAATATGACCAACTATTTTAGGGCAGCTTTAAAACCTTTAAAGTTTTATTACCACAGAATAGATTATATTAATACTAAGAAATAAGAATTATTATCATATAAATGATTAAGAGGATGCATTGCATTGTCTCCGTCTTACAAATGTAAAACGTAGCAAAAAACTATTTTTAGCGGGATAGTATCACTCCCTCGGTATTTATAGTAAAATTACCAAACTTCCACAAAGCATAGGGAACAACTTTATCTGCGTCGTAGTTTTTTTATTTTTTCGATAGTATTTACCAATAAATTTTAATAATTACACGAAAAAACAAAAAAAAATCCTAATGTTCTCAAACTCATAAAACGGTACGACACAGATAAAGTTGTTCCATATACGTTGTAGAATTTTGGTAATTCTACTATAAATACCGAGGGAGTGGTTCTATCCCGCGCAATAGTTTATTGCTATGTTGTAAGACGGAGACAACGCATGTGGGTATATACGTTGACAGACATGACTGCTAATGCAGTTATGCAAATTACTGTAATTTGGTAGTCACTTTAATTGGGCATAATCCATAGATTTTTATATAGTTTTAGAATATTTGATTTTTCTTTTTGCCCAAATTGTTAGTAAGTCACAATAGGACGCTAGATAATTTCCAACATGGTGAAGCCACAAGAAACACAACTGCTCTAGCAGTTATGCCATTTTACGACTTAAATCAGTATGACTGCTATAGCAGTTATTGTCCGTCAACGTGTTAATAATGATTTTTTGGTGAGCAAGTGGCACCTCACACTGTTTAAAACTAACAATATCCGACACATTATGTAACATTTAATCTATACGAAACTGTACTGGCACCATACAAAAAGTATGAGTGGTTTTTAAATACACTCAACGGCAATACATAAAGTTAGATTCAATAAAACAAGTTTGTCCTGGATCACAAATTGTTGAATTAAAATTACTTTGTTGTAAAATTATGTACATAACATTATATTAAACTTCTTTAATTTGAAGTTTATTTCTACCTACTATTAATATAGTTATAAAAATTAAGATTTTTAAATTTAATTCTATTACAAAATGTAACTTAATTTATTTAATATTTATAATGGTATATTATTAATTTTCTATTCATATAAATGTAATTTATTAATCCCAATAATATGACTATTCTGCATATAGTTTCACCAATTGCAGGATAAAATGTTTTGAATCAGTACTGTGGTGGTGGGCTTTTACCACTTCAGTTCGCTAGCTTATATACAACAAATTAAATACACAATTTATACAGTTAACATGTAAAGATGGACACTGTTAGGTTAGAAAAATCTCTAAGGACAAATTAATATTTTAGTCCCGGTAAATGGTATGTTGATATTTATTATTTATGCAACTTTTATAAATAACAAAGCCTACTTAACATAGAAACATACAATGGTATATGTTATTTGGGGTGGGAAGGGTGCTAGGTGTTCTCTTCCTTCAAAAATGTTAATCAGCTGAGGTTTTGAAAAAATTTTTTGTACTAAAAGTGTTATATTAAATTGTTAAGACCTAAATATTACAATTAATCTAAAAAATGAAAACCTGTCAAAATTGAACATTTATATTATTTTTAAATTTGAATAGATTCCATAGTAAATAGTTTCATTGTACTAGTAAATTTATATAAACTAAAAATACAAAAAGCAAAGGATTACACAAATTAATATAACAATTCAATTAATAATTTGATTGATTAATTAAATTACAATTTGAAATTCAGTTAAACTGTTTATAATATGCACCAACTCAGTGCAAGTATAAAAAATAGTTAATTAAATGGATGATACATTAATTGGTTAGGTTAGTAGATTAGGAGCCTATTACAAAGTTTGAATTGAACTTGAAATATTTTAAATTACATTTTTACTTAACCACAATTATTTTAATAAAGACATGAAAATTATGTTGGTCCCTACTTGGAATTTTAATAAAACTCAACATTTTGAATTAAAATATAGAATATTTTTCCACAAACAATAGGTGGTTTAATAAACAATTTAAGCTTTAGAGCTTCAATAAAAAATTATTTGAATAGGAGGTATATCCATGGTATAAAGAATAAGAAGTATGCTCAATGATAAGATATATAATATAATCAGTCTTCATATTATAATTTATACATGCAACCAACAATAAACTCAAGCTGAAGTCACATGTATATTTTTAATTTTATGTAATGCAGTATCCACAAAAACACAATACGATGCACATGTGCAAACTAGGGTAGAAACATGAATCGTATTTAGTGTGTATATCTATAGATAGTATCTATGTGTACTGTATAGTGTATATCTATTACAAAAATATTATATATTTTGAATTTAAGTGGTGAGTGGTGACTCCACTAATAATCAACAACTACCTATTGAAACTCTTTTTTTCAATTAAGTAGGTATATGTGTATTAAAAAATAAAATCTACCTACACATTTAATTAAATATTATATCTTACCTTGCATGGCTTTATATTGAAGAGGTGCAATATGTTCAAAACCTGGTGGTGGAACATCCCAGTAGAGAGATGGCTTTCTGCGTCTAGACTTATTTTTAGGCGACTTAGATCTGCTACGTTTACGTCCTTCGCGACTCCTTGATCGATGTCTGCGATGTCGTTCACGGTCTCTAGATCGTGAACGCCGCCGTCTTTCACCACGTTCCTTATCACGTTCTTTGTCACGTTCTCCTCTTTCTCCCCTGTCTCGTTCTCTTTCTAAGTTACATAAACGTTTATTAGAACAACAATCATTTACTACATAATATCAGGTACCTATTAAGCATATTAATTCAAACAGTACTTACCTTTGTCTTCACCCATTACACTATGTTTGTAGTTATATTAAAGACGGCGACTAATTTGAAATATCGCGTCCTACGTTAAAAATAAAATGAACAATTGTAAATAATTTATAAGTGGTAAATACTAAATGCTGAAGTATTTAATTTAGAAAAAGCAAAACGAATTTGTTAAAAATATTGTTTACATGCACTCGTGAGTCGTAAATCCTGTTTTTCTAGACAGCCGCTGAACCAGAATATATCCAGTGCGTTTACAGTGTAATAGTGTAAACTTCACAGTGTTCACAAGTCATAACACGGACTTAAAGAGATTAGAGTTTAGGGGAAGATCAAAAACTCAGTTGCACCAACCTCGAAATGTAAAAAGTCCCATTATTACCCCTAAATTTATATTTTACATTCAAATTCAAATAGGTATTATTGTAAAAGTGTTAAGTGGCTACAAAAACTTGGTAGGTACTTGGGCTAGGTAGCCAGGTAGGTACTAGAGTTGGGTAGGTTAAAATAGGAAGGTAGTATCTTCTTACTCTATGTATTAGGGACTATTCCTGGACTAGGGAATGCTAGATGAAAGGCTCAAAACAGGCGCGCACAAAGGATTTTTGTTTAGGGCATAGGCGCAAATTCAACTTTTGACTTGTGGGGGCTGAATATATTAAAAGCAAGCAGATCATTGCAATATAGCATATTCAAACTGTATGTCCTAGGTTTTTTTTTTTTGGGGGGGGGGGGGGGCTACGGCTAAGTTTGGGTGGGGGGGGGGGGCTTAGCACCCCCAAGTCCTCCCATTTTGTGTATATGGGGGGGGGGACTTAAAAACGTTCTTACTTTCCTTACACACAAGCACGATTAAATCATGCACACAAGTAAACAATTTTTGCACATACGTATACGTATGTATAATTACGTACTTAAAATTACGTTATATTTAATATATTTGACAATAAACAGTTGCAATTTGTAAACGTAATTATAACGGAATACGATTAACAAAATATAATATAATAGGTATATCATTATTCATTATTTATCAAAACATAACTTAAAACGTAATTAATTATAGAATATTATCAAACGAAAAATAACGCAAAACAAAATGATTTTATAGAAATATTTATTTCATGCGATTTATTTTTGTCTTAGCAAAAAACCTAAGTATTCAAGGGCGCCCATATGGGGGGGGGCAAGGGAGGGACATGTCCAACCCCCCTGGAAAATGTCGAAAATCTTGAAAAATTGTTTACTGTGATCAGAATCTACTTATTTATTTAAACAGAATTTAAAAATGTATTTTAATATATTATCATAGGCGTGCGCACGGGTAGGGCTGATTGGGCTTTAGCCCCACCTGAGATTTTTTTATACGTGGGTGGGTTGGTACATTATGAAGACATGACTAAAGTAGGTATAGCACTTTTAGTTTTTAAACGTTTGTGTTTACCCGAGAGACTATACAAAGCGATTCATTTAAAATTGAACACCCATTATTTCAAAAAGTGTAATGTTTTTTGTAAGTGTTTTTTTAAATATTTTTAATCCTGCTTCTAATTATTTAATTTTTTTAATTTTTTGAATGACAACATAGAGTTTTAATTTCATAGTCCAAAGCAGAATATCTTGCTAAGTATTTCGATACATAAAAATCGAATTTAGTGCGAGTAGTTTATGCTATATAAGTATTTAAAGTTTATATGAGCGGAGTTGAGTGGTACCTACGGGATTACCCAGCGAAATGTACCTATGTCCACTACTCCGCTCATCTAAGCTTTAAATATTTATATCTCGTAAACTAATAGCCCTAAAGTCGATTTCCCATGAATAATTTATAATAATAAATAAATAAGTTAATTGACAATTTTTAATAGATTGAATAGATTTGAATAGATTGTTTTATTATTAGATTATATTTGGGTAAAATTTTAAATCAATATTGATGAATTTTTCCAGTCACCAACAAAAGGTTTACTTAAAAGTTTGTAGGGAAAATGTCTATAATTTTTTTCTTGTGTGACCATGACAAGGTGGTGGGTGATCAGATTGAATTTAGCCATACCTGACTCAGAGGTCTGCGCACGCCTATGTATATTAAGGATGGGCCAAAAATATCGATAATATCAAAATATCGATATTTGTAAACTATACAGGGTGATTTTTTTATCGAAGAACACTCATTATTTCAAAAAGTATTAATGTTTAAGAAAATATTTTTTTACATAGTTTCAAGCTGTTAAAAAACAATATTTTTATTAAAAAATTATATTTTTAAATATTTTTTATCCTTTTAATTTTTTAAGTTTTTTACTTTTTTGAATGACAACATCTAATTTTAATTTGATATTCAAAAACAGAATATTTTTCTGATTATTTTAATACATAAAAATTGAATTTAGGGCAAGTAGTTTATGAGTTATAAGTATTTAAAGTTTAGATGAGCGGAGTAGAGGACAAACATTTCGCGGGGTAACCCCGTACCACTCTACTCCGCTCATCTAAACTTTAAATACTTATAACTCATAAACTAATTGCCCTAAATCCAATTTTGATGTATCGAAATACTCAGAAAAATATTCTGTTTTTGAATATCAAATTAAAATTAGATGTTGTCATTCAAAAAAGTAAAAAAATTAAAAAATTAAAAGGATAAAAAATATTTAAAAATATAATTTTTTAATAAAAATATTGTTTTTTAACAACTTGAAACTATGTAAAAAAATATTTTCTTAAACATTAATACTTTTTGAAATAATGAGTGTTCTTCGATAAAAAAATCACCCTGTATATCGATATCGTATGATATTTTCAATTTATGATAATATCGATATATCATCCGATAATATTAATATCGTCGGCAACGGAAAAAAACCTCGAAACTCGAAATTTTCATTTTTTTTTTTACAACATTGTATTATAATACAAATACCTAAACAAATACAAATACCCGTCGCTATCTTATCAATGAATAATCCATTGTTAATTGGCGTTCCTAGAATAACAATTATTATTTATATAATTAATAGTTCTAGGAACTAGGGATTGGGAACTTCCAGATGAGCGGCTAGTTGACAGTTGTTTAATTTGAAATAAAATAAATAAAATGATATTAATACTAATAATTATATTAAAATCCTACCTGTAAATAATAGGTCCTACTAGAAAGGTTAATGTACAAGAGATTATTTTTATTTTATTTATTAAATTTTTTTATTGTTATTAAATATTAATATAATTTAGATTATGTTTTTATTATATTAGTTTTTTATTGTATTAGATAATATACATATCATGTATAAATGTATTGTGATCACGATTTAAGATATACTTAGATATATTTAGGTATATCTTAAATCGTGATTGTGATATAGTGACATAGTGTTATCTTATGTTAAAATTGTGTTTTGTTCATTTTTAATAATTTATAATCAGTTAATTATGAATTTATAATATAAAGGTATTTAGGTAAATTGCATTTAATTTGCTTCATAATTGTTATTATTTGGTGTAACTTTTTGTACTTAAATAAATACACTAAAAAATAAGGACCTACATTTAAAAAATCTATTAAATTATTTTAATTTTCAATTTTACAATAGGATGAATAATATGTAAACAAAATGCGCTGTCTTCAAATCTCTGCTCACAGACTATAACTGTGTGTTTTATACTTTTTTATACTATAAAAGAGCGAAAAAAAAAAAAAAAAAATCAAAATGTGTGATATATCAAAATATCGATATATTTTGGGGAAAATATCGATATCAATTGATAAATTTTATATTTTATCGATACTGATATTATCGATATTTTTTCAATTTGGCCCATCCTTAATGTATATTATGAAAATCTATAATTTGTTTATTAAAAGTCGGTTTATTCAGTTTGGCAAATCGGGTTATCAGCTATAAATAACAACACACTGTTTCGTTTCTATATTCTATGAATAGTTATCAATTCTTAAAATATTGTGTATTGCCACAATACGATATGTATAATATGTTTGTCTGTGTGTGCGTGTACACCAGCATAATATTTTATTTATAATCACAGATTTATATATAATAAAGAAGTACGGAAACGGAGTGGGTATTTTTATACATGCACATAGCCCGGTTGTCGGTACCCACTGACCACTACCCAATACCTATTGTCCAATACCCATTAGAGATGAAAACTATTCAGTTTAGAGTCGTTACTTATTAATTAAGCGAATAGCTTAGATTTTGACATTTTGTATTTAAAATACCTCGAAGAACAAATCATCAGAGTCAACGATCAAATCATAACTGTTCATCAAATGATTCTATTGAAGATTATTACAGAGTATCCATGTATATACCATATTTAAACTCTATTATTAGCTCGTTAAATAATCGATTTAATGAGAACAACGAGACTCCTTTTAAATTATGTTGGTTGCTTCCAAATGAAATGGTTAAACTACAAAAAAATGAATATATTAACATACTTCAAGATATTGAAAATCATTTTAAAATACCTAATATAAAAATTAATGGTTTAATTTGGTATTATTATTGGCAATTAAAATCACAATCATTTATAAATGATTCAATGGTAGATTATAAAAAATTGTTAAAGGAGTGTGAATTTTTTCCTGCTGTCAAGAAAGGTATAATGATATATATTACATTGCCACCTGCCCACCTACGACATGCACTGTAGAACGATCATTCAGTACACTAAGGAGAGTAAAGACATGGACGAGATCTACAATGAGTGAAGATAGACTTGATGGCTTATGTATGATAAGCGTACGTAGGGAAAAAATTTATGATAAAAAGGATGAATATATAGAACAAGTAATAAATATATTTGGTGTTAAAAAAAGAAATTGACAATTTTTATTTGTAAATTAATATTTTAATAAATATAATTAATGTTTTAAGTGTCGAATTGATATTATTAATTAAATAAAAATTTCAATAAATTAATTTTATGGTTAATTGGTTAAATAATTATTGTTTTATAATCCTCCAGTTTGATGTATATAATGTAATAGTATAGTGTACAATTGTACACCCCTTCCTACCTCGTGGTCATTCCTATTTATAAATAGATTGATAAATTAAAATGTTGTCCCCCCTTGAGAATTTTACTATGGGCGCCCTTGTAAGTATTTATTCAGTATCTGAGCCATTCCCTGCATTAGTTATTATTTTTAAATTTACTAGGTATTAAATGTTGCCATGTTGGGTAAAATAAACGTTTCAATAACGATTGACACAAAATTTGTAAAACGTTTGAATTCTAAATAACGATAAACGCAAAAACCGTATAACGTTTTAATTGTAAATTTGTAAACAACAGAAAACGATATTTTTTTTAATGGGCCTGAATATGAATAATAAAAATGTTTACTCTATAGTAAACTTTATTGAAGTGAGTAGCCGTGTAAGCTATCAAAATAACCTTATTATTTTGTAAAAATTCAATATTAGGGGTCTACGAAAATTGAAAAATTGGCACGTGGTCTAAACGTTTGGGAACCTTTGCTTTAAATCGAGCCACAACTCACAAATATAAAACTGAGTCTATAAAACAGTCAACGTAGAATAAACGGATGCGGGTTTTTTTAAATAATTTTTTTCTTGCAATTATTTAATTTCCTTACAAAATTAGAAAATCTAGGACATTAACCTGAAGCCTCTAAAACAACCTCAACCTTTAGGCCAACATTGTATCCTCTGTACCCCACTCCAAATCCGACGCTGTAACTAGACACTATTTATCTTACATACCGGTTTAATTCATATTCAAAACATTACATTTGATATTTTAAGCTATATTATAATATGGGTAAGGTAAATTTAAAAAAAAAAATGTTATAATACTTTTTTTATGTGAGCCAAACGCTATAAACGTGGTTAAAATTTGATTTATACTATATGGTTTCACATTTGGCAATTTGTACAATGAATACGCAAACGGCATCTAGTATCTACAGTGATAGCAAATACGTAAACATTATTAATTTATCACTAACAAGGAACCTAAGCTTTAAAATTAAAATATTACACATGGTACAGTCGTAAAGACAACAGAATTTCGCACTGCAGAACGAGGCACGTCATTGTGACTATTGTGAGATGACATCGAGTTGACAACCCGAACTTAGAAGGTTGCGTCTTACCGGGACTTTTTAATTTACCGGATCCAGTTTTTTTTTTTACAATTTTGAAATTTTATACAATGGTCGATCAGAATACGATAATGGCATACCCGACAGACTACAAAGCTTTGAAGTGTGAATCCGGCTTTATACAATCTATCAACTACCTTGAATGCACATTCCATGTACCGGCAAGACCAAAACTCATAACTTTGAAACAAAGTTCAGACGCAAAATTTTAACTTCACCATAATTTTCAGTATACTTACATAATTACATAAATTAGAAAAGAATTTCCAAAAAAGAGTGCTCGGTAGACAGTAAAGTACCAAATTCCAATAGACGGTATTTACTTTATACAGTTGTTATATACACCATAAGGCATAAACTCTATCATAATAAGGTATGCATACTTACCTATCGATTATGTAAAGACGTAAAGTGTCTGTGAAAATACAACTGTCGATACGTAACTACTAAAATTTGTCTTTATGTTCATTGAAATTGCCTATATTAAACTCCTTTTATGTAAAACATTATAGAATATTGTAAAACGGATTTTTCTCATATTCTATTTCATACAAATGCAATCTGCACCTGCGGGTTGCAAGTACAATAAGACTATGTGCTAATTCAATTTACCTAATATATAAATGAATAGCTTAACGGCTTAACGGAAAAAGTCTCCTACTGGTGACACATATAAATTGAAAACAAAAAGAATAATTAAATTATATATTAGTATAGGTATTATTAATATAAACAGTGTACTCTTGAATAATAGAATACCTATGCCAAGCAAAATGGGGCCTGAAAACATTTTTTTTATACTATATTCAGTTTCAAAACTCCCTTGTTGACATTATTTTGGTATGACTATGATAAAAGTGAAATACCTATAAAAGTCTATTATGACTTATGAGGGTGTATACATGTATAATACTTATAAACTTCAATGTGATAAATATATTATGTACAGTATAAAATTTTATATTATATTTAATTTTATTATCTTTTAGTAAAGTCCACATCACAACTGGTCATTTAAAATAGGTACATGGATTGGGTCTCATCATTAAATCAACATAGATATTTCATCAAGATTGAAGTTTAATCTTATTTCAGCTTTTTTTAAAAACTTATTTAACTGATATTTAAATTCAACCTATTATAGATACATCAAACTCGAACGCTAGACTTAATATTGTTGTTAACCAAGCTTAGATAAATGTTTAAAGTGGTTTGGAAACCAGTATAAGATCTTCGGCTTCCTGCGCCGGCGAATGAAAAATAGTCCTGTTTTTATTAAAGGTTTGAACGTTTCAACACTGAGAAGTATCCATTTATATTAGATTCTGAGCGGAGCGAGGAAGCTAGTGATTTTACAATGGTGCTTATTTATTTTTTATCCTATAAAAAAAATTTCTACCAGAAGGAGTGCTTTGATTTCAACATATAGTATCTTATCTCTTAGCAAATTTGATCAATATATATATGGTACTTTAGAGAGGTCATTTTTCGATTTTCTCAATACTTATTTAATGCCACGGGAAAAACCACAGACAAATTATAAAAAACCGGTAAGAACGGGATTTTAATTTATAAAGCTTTGTTTATCACCATAGAAACGAATACAAAATAATAATATCACAATATTTATTCAACTTAAAGGCTATAATAAATAATAACAATATAAAATATCCCGACTGACAAACCGTCTCCGCTCAGATCGTTTTTCTTATATATTGATATAATATCATTGAATTCAAGTTTAATACAATCCATTATACATTGACCCACTTGTAACCTACTGTACATCAGAGCGACATCAACTTACCCGCTTTTTTTATGTTTATTGTTTACACATAAAACAATTAATTATTAATAATTAAAAAATGAAAAATGAAATTATAAAGAACTGAAAATACATTATTTAAATTATAAGTTTTAAGCATGATTATGGTTTGGTTTCAGTAGGATGTCAGCTCAATATTTGTTTTCTATCTTTGTCCCTCACTCATTATAAAATTTGAGTTTAAACTATAAATATAAAATTCTAATACCTATACATAATTCTGTGAAAATTTAAACTATCTAAGGTTGTTAATTTTGGAATTTTTTTTTATTTTTACAAGATATTTACAATCTATTCAGAGAACAATAAGCAAATTAGAGAAGAGTAATAAAAAACATGAGTAATATGACGGAAGAAGCCACCCAATGATGATACTACCTACTTTATTTAGAGTTTAGTAGGAGGATTTGATCTAGGATTGAAGCATCTATAGTAGGTCACGACACCAATTACGTTTGAGACGTCTGACGGGGTTACCCGGAATCGAAGAGACTACTAGATTTTTTATAAGAGGGTTAGGATGAGTTTTGCTTCATCTTTGACGGAGTTTATCCTGAGATAATTTTGAAATGACATAAAAATAACAAATTCATGTTTGTCAAAAACTGGTTACGATACCATCATATTTTCTTTTGTTTTCCACCATTATTAACTTAGGTAATTAATATTTTCGTAGATAATAAATATTTTCAGTTAATATCAATTTTATACTTGTAGGCAGTTTAACATATAAACTTTGATTTATAAACCTATAAATTTTAATTTAAAGACGTCATATTGGTATACATTTATATTTATTATTTAATAATATTTTACAGTTTGAGAACACTAAATTCATCTACGTAATTTATTTTTTATAACTAAAGGTACCTACTTACTATCTATATGACTGTATAATTACTTTAATTATTGAACATAATTACAACAAAAAAAAGGTTGCAACAATTAAATTATTAATGTATTTTTAATGTTTTGTATAAAAAAATTTTGTACAACATTTATAAATAAAATAAAAAAAATTGAACAGTAAAATCATCACAATATTGTATAAAAAAATTAAAATATAACTTACACATAATCATTTGTAATATTTAAAAAATGTTTCAAAGATTTATGCAACTTTTAAGCAAAAATACTTGTCTAGTATGGCACATTATTTTTGACATCAAGTGCGTAGGCTTTAAACATAGGTAGGTTGTTAATATATTATTTAATCAATGTTTCATAACATGAATATTATATTGTAATAAATAATCATTAATAATAGATTAATACCTAGAAACCTAATATTTAATACTTGATAGGTACTATTACATATAGTTTGATATTTTTCTATTCGTATTCTCACAAACTAAATGAAGGTACCTAGGAAATCAATCTTATATTTTGTATTTTTGTTGCCTAGGTAAATCTTTGAAACATTTTTCAAAATTAAGACAAATTTTAATCTAAATTAAATTTAAATACTTAATTAGTTATTAATTATTATTATAATCTTAAGCTAATACCTATACATTTAGATTGAGCTAATTATACATTATTATTTGAAATGTTGGTTTATAAAATTAAATTATATTATTCAGCAAGTACAGGGGCTAGACTCGTTTGCCAATTTGATTTAGGGCCGAGTTTATTACACATGGGAATTTTCCTATTTTTCTCACATTTCTTAGATTTATCCCAAAAGCTCTGACCTTCGGGACATTGAAACATTTGACCTAAAATAAACAAAACAAATATTACATAGAAAAATTGATCGAAAGACCAATAAAATTCATATTTAATATTTTACCATTGAGAATTCCTCTAGCATCTCTACTACATTTTACAAAAGTTTGACAATCAGTTGGAGAACCAAACGTTCCTTCTGATGGACATAACTGCCGGTAAGGTTGAATCTGAACCTATTTAATGTAAACATAAATAAGTTTTAATATAAACATATTTGGAAACTCAATTGTAATAACTTACAGTTGGTAGTATTTCTTCAAGTGGTTCTAACCGGCGTACATCAATTGATGAACATGATTCAGATTCATCTGGTGGTAAACATTGAGTTCTTTTTTGATCATAGAATGTACCATTTGAACACGCGAGGACCAATACCTTTATGTCATTATTAGCTGCTATTGTACATTGATAAAATAGGTTACAATTTTTTGGGTGTCTTCTAAAACCGGTTGGACACACTAATGAAACTTGATCAGGATCCAAAGTGGGACAATTGTCTGTAGAGTTTGAAGTTTCTGGTGAAGTTGTTGTGGCAGGTAATGTTTCTGTCGACGGTTGATTTGTTTCAGAATCTGTTGTTTCTGTTTGACTTGTTGTAGGCGGATTTGTTTCCGATGGATTTGTCGTAGGTGGATTTGTTTCCGATGGATTAGTCGTCGGTGGATTTGTTTCTGATGGACTTGTAGTTGGTGGATTGGTTTCGGACGGGCTTGTCGTTGGTGGATTTGTTTCCGATGGATTAGTCGTTGGAGGATTTGTTTCTGACGGACTCGTTGTTGGGGGGTTTGTTTCTGTAGGACTCGTCGTTGGTGAATAAGGTTCTGTCTCACTAGTCGTGGATTGATTTGTTTCCGTTGGATTTGTTGTTGGTGGATTTGTTTCTATTTGACTAGTCGTTGTTTCAGTTGGACTAGACGTTATTGGATCAGTTCCTGTTGGATTAGTTGTTGGTGGATAAGTTTCTGGTTGACTAGAAGTAGTAGATTCTGTTTCAGGTATACTTGAAGTTGGCTTCACTTCTGGTTCATTCGTTTCAGAAGGTCCTGTAGTTTCAATTTGACCATCAGTTGTTACTATAGTACTTGCTTCAGTGGTAGTAGTTACTTCAGTAGCAGGAGTACTAGTTCCATTGATTTGAGAAGTGCTTGATCCAGAACAATCTCTGGGAGGGTATACAGAAGCTTCATGATTACATACGTTTAAGCTAGGATCAAAAATAGTTCCCTCAGGACAGTCGAAGTGGTACACAGAAAATCGTTCACCTTTATCACCGTCCCAGTCGACACATCTATAGAACTTTTTACAATCGTCTGGATGAGGGAAAAATCCACTTCCATTACACACTATTTTGCTAGGTGGTTTTGGTGAAGTATTACAAGGGGCAGTCGAATTATTGGAGGATATAACTGTTTGACTTGTGGTTGAAGATGTTTGTTGGCTAGAAGTAGATGTTGAAGTTTGGGTTTGAGTAGTTTGACTACTTACTGATGTCTGGGGGGAAGGGCTGGTAGGCAATGCCGTGGATGTTTCTGGGTTACTAGGTTGACTTGATATTGGATTTTCAGAACTACTAGATACAGTTGATTCTGTTGATCCAGTTGTAGTCGATGAACCCGATTTAGAACAATCTCTATCCACTGCCCATGGATGATTACATACATTATTAACATGATCCCAAACAGTTCCTGGCCCACAATTAAAGTTATATTTAGTAAATCCTTTTCCATTACCAACACATCTATAAAATTTGTTGCAATCTTTAGAATCTGGGAAAAATCCTTCTGTAGTACAAGTGTCTGTTGATGTAGGTGGTTGTGTTTGATGGTTTGTAGACGATGATGTGGTAACTGATGTAGTAGGTGGATTTTTCGTAGATTGCTGACTTATTGGTTTAATAGTTGTTGATGATTGGTATGATGGTTTGTTTGTGGAAGCAACCGTTGTTGGTTTTGAAGGTGGTTTTGAATTCACAGGTTTAATGGTTGTTGTAACAGTTGGTTTTGAAGTTGATTGAGTGGTTGGTTTAGGAGTTGAAGTGTATTGCGTTGGCTTTTTAGTAGTTGTTGTAGTGGCTCTTTGTGTAGTAGTAGTTGGTAAAGTAGATACTGACGGAGTAGTCGTTGTAACTTTTTGTGTGGTAGTTGAAGTAATTGGTTTTTGAGTGGTTGGTTTTTGAGTTGTTGGTTGTGAAGTGGTTGGTTTTCGAGTTGTCGGTTGTGGAGTGGTTGGCTTTACAGTTGTCGGCTGTGAAGTAGTTGGTTTGGAAGTTGTCGGTTTTGAAGTGGTTGGTTTATAAGTTGTAGGTTTCGGAGTCGTTGATACTGGTGGTTTTTTCGTTGTATAAATAGGCGTTGTTGGTTTTAATGTCGATGACATTGGTGAAGTTGGTTTATTTCCAGAATTATTTATTTGTTGATTAGATCCACCACCAGTTGTCTGTTGATTTGATCCAAAACCAGTTGTTTGTTGATTTGATCCAACGTTAGTTGTCTGTTGATTTGATCCTTCGCTTGTTGTCTGTTGATTTGATCCAAAACCAGTTGTCTGTTGATTAGATCCAAAACCAGTTGTCTGTTGGTTAGATCCAGCACCTGTTGTCTGTTGGTTAGAACCAGCACTAGTTGTCTGTTGGTTGGCTCCAGCACTAGTTGTTTGTTGGTTAGCTGCTGCACTAGTTGTTTGTTGATTAGCTGCGGCACTAGTTGTTTGTTGATTAGCTGCGGCACTACTTGTTTGTTGATTAGATGCTGCACTAGTTGTTTGTTGATTAGCTGCGGCACTAGTTGTTTGTTGATTAGCTGCAGCACTACTTGTTTGTTGGTTAGCTGCGGCACTAGTTGTTTGTTGATTAGCTGCGGCACTAGATGTTTGTTGATTGAGGCCAGCAGTAGTCGTTTGTTGGTTTGCACTAGAACTTTCACCCTGGCTTGAACCTTGATTCATAGCAGCTGTTGTTGCAGAAGCGCCTTGTGATGAAGATTGTTGGTTAAATCCTCCAGTTGCTTGACCAACAGTAACAGCTGAAGTTGAAAACTGGCTACTAGAAGAACTACTAGAACTTGAACTTGAGCTTGACATCATAGATGAATTAGATGTCACTGAAGTAGACCATAAGTTGGCTGTAGTTATTTGCTGCGCTACTGTAGAATCTGATTGTATTGTGGAAGGTGTTGCTGCTGTTGTGGTTCCACAATTTACTAGATTAGCATGATTGCATGTTTGTTGACTATCATCCCATAAAGTTCCTTCACCACAGTCAAATTCATATTTGGTGAAAGTTCCATCACCTTTATCGACGCATCTTATGAATTTTTTACTACAACCTTCATTGTATGGATGGAATCCTTCTGACACACAATTTGGTCCACTAGAACTAGTATCTTCTGGTTGATCAGGTAATTCATTATCTACTTCATTTTCAGGACTTTCTGACGATGATTGCTGATTGTAGCCATCTTCTGGTTGAACAGGAGGTGCGTAAGTAGATTGTGGTTGATTGTAATTCGGTTGCGATGGTTGATAATAATTTGGCTGCGACGTTGATACTACAGGTTGATACTGTGGTGGTTGATTATTACTTGGTTGTTGACTTGGTGGTATATAACCAGACTGTGGTGGTTGATTATAGCCAGATTGTTGATTAGGTGGGTTGTAACCAGATTGTGGTGGTTGATTATAATTGAACTGTTGTGCTGGTGGTGATGATGATTGTACGTAGCTAGATTGCGGAGGTTGGTTATAATTTGGTTTTTGAACCATTTGCGATGAAGTTGGAATGTAACCTGATTGCGGTGGCTGATTGTAACTTGGCGGTTGAGATTCTACATATCCTGACTGTTGAGGTTTATAATTACTTGGGGGCGAGTTTGGTTGTGGTGGTATGTATGGGGGAGGTTGGTAACTTGGTGGTGACTGAGGTTGAACGTATTCAGTTTGTGTTGGATTATAACCTGTCTGTGGGCGCCCGTAATCATAGTTTGAAGATGGCTGATTTAAATATTCGGGAGCGGTTGAACCATAACCTGGGTTATTTGGTTTATTGGTGTTTGGTTGATTTGGAGCACTGTTAGGTGGTGGTGGATTCCATGAATTAGATTCTTCTGGGCTAGGTTCTGGCTCGGGATTACTAAATTGTACATTTTTACATTCTTCTCTATTAGAAAAAGAAGGATGTACGCATACAGAGTTTTCTGGATCAAAAACAGTTCCAGGAGAACATTGAAATTTAAACTTGGTGTAGTATGTGCCAGCTCCAAAGTTAACACATCTGTAAAATGAAGTACAGTCAGACGGGTCTAGATGAAACCCTTCTGATTTACAATTAAATGTTCCTTCTGTGGGACTTGAATTAGCTCTCGATTCTCTGCTAGTTACGTCTATAATACAAAATAAGAAAAATATTTTTTTGTTTATAGCTAATGTTTAACATTAAGACATACCACAGGTAGAATAGTAAATCATGCACACTAAGACGATGATTCGGCTCATCGAACCCACCATGATTGTATATGACTCGTGACTTAGTTATAATATAATCAAAAATCTTCCTGAAAACAAAACAATTATAAATAAATACATTTAACTCTTTGATACTCATTGGCCGGAAAACTACCTCAGCCGTAAAATATTGTCTAGTATTACACGTCAGAAAAACTGTCTGTTACATGCGGTTAAAAATGTTATACTATATGCAAATATCCTATCTTTTAAAATAACGGAATCATAAACCGGTTATAACCATACGAATATGCGAATCTCTATAGGTAGTATTAAAGAGAATATAAAATTGCATCAATTGAAAATACACTGCATACATAAAATAATTGACACATATTAAATTAACTGATTAACCTAAATAACTGATAATAGTAGGATAAATACAGTTATCAGGTTAAACGATAGTACGCACTTAAAGATTTATTTAATCATGATTAATGATCGCTTGAATAAAAAATATTTGGCTTGGTAGATATCTGATATTAATTACACACGAATTCAACACAAATATCTGTTACATAGGATTTTTCAACTGGCGTGATTATATTATTTAAGACTACGTAAGTAGCTAATTTATTTAGGAATAAAAAATAAGCTGCGTTACGTATATTTGAATCGGTTCCTAATCCTGATGGTTATTTTAAAATTATATTTACCTACGCATGTTGCATGAGTCCTATCGATATAAACATATTTAGTAAAGTCGCAATTTAAAATTTACTCTGAAAGATCTACATTATATAGTATGATTTATCCGATTACAACTTCAAATAGACGAATATAAAATATTAATTTAATTCATAATTTTACTTACATCCATATAGTATTATTTATTATGCGTCTATGTAGCACACTATATAGTACTATACAATATACAAACATAATACATAATCATGAATGTCTTGTTATTATCAAATACGTTAGAGAAGAGTACTAGATGAATATAAATGTGTTTATCTAAGAAATGTGCTTACGAGTAGGTACAAAAAATTACGACTACGGAAGTAGACGAGAAAGTAAAGCTGGGGGAGGTGGGTTTGATATTTCGTACTACCAGATCGTGTTTTATGAGGTCGAAGAGAGGAGGTCATGGTTGGCCGTTGACCGAAATGACTATGCAAATCGGACGAAGCGCCATCGGGTTCTATATGAGTCATAAAATCACGTTGTTGACAGCAGTAAACCATATTGGTAATTTTATGGTTTTTTGAACAGTAAGGAGTATTACAAAACGTCATAATAGCTCATTTTTAACAGCACTGAGATCAATGTAGAAATTTAAATTTAAATCATCCTCAAAAAAAAAAAGTTGTATTTTACATAAGAAATCATTTTAAATATTTATTATTAAACCATATTTAAGTTATACTTAATAATGCCTACCAGCTACTTTGAATTCGAATATGTGGCTCATAATTTATTTGAGCAGGTACATATAAATGAACAAAAGTGGACAACATATCAACCCAGTTGTTTAAGTGATATAGGTACAAACCAATAAAGTGCTACTATTATAACTATTATTTCGATTGATACTTAAATGTTTAATATGTGATAATTAATCAGTCAGTTAATAACATATTTAGTTTATCCGTAAAATAAAATCTTAAGACCAACACGAAGTATGATTTTTCGTTTTACCTTCATTTTTGATAATTTTATTTTATTTTTTCAGGTTTCTTTTATATTCTATTAAAAACATTTTTAAAAGCTCAAAATGACATCTATAAAATATAATAATATTGTTGCATTTAAATATTTTATTTATCAAAAATAGTCAGGCCAACTTAACATTTTTTTTTATAATCAAAGTCACGTTTATCGTATCTACCTAAACACGTACAGAATGTATGCGTGTACGTGCGTGTTATTTTTGTGTGTCAATATAGCTCGTGAACGGCATGTAGCTATAATGATGATGTCATGAGCTTCAATTGGATTCACATGAAAACTTGAATGGTGTGTGGATGACGTGATGACATTGTAGCGACTAGCGAATAGTAAAAATTATGATCAAGGTTCAAGGATTGGATACTCTGCGATCAAGGTCTAGTGCGTATTCTCGTCGACTTTTACGTATATATACAAAATGCTTTTTTCTAAGCATATAGTAGGTACATGAAGAGGAAGTAATACATTATAAATTTCGATTGAAGATAATGTCATCAGTTAAATTTTTCGGGAAGAGAAAGTTGATAAAAATATTTCTGATTTTATTAGTAGTAGAGTGTACAGAAAATAATTCTCGTTTTCCCTAAACAACTAAAACTACACCCCCCCCCCCCCCCCAAAAAAAAAAAAAATTCAAATAAATTTTTAAACTCTTGAAAGCAATATGAAAATATTTGTAATAAATTTGATTAATATTTGCACCACTTTGGATTGATTTAATTAAGGGCACTAAAATTATATAGTTTATGAATTAACTTATTTTGTTTGCAATTAGTTTAATACTATAACTTATAAAAATCAATATTACATGATGTACTAATAAATTGTAATAAGTAATTATAAGTTATTTATTATTATAAATTTTATTTTATTGTTGTTATAAATTAAATAATTATTTCTTTTCATAAACATTTAATGTTTAACAATGTTCGACTTTGTTATCTAATGTACTAATGTACATAATAAATATCAACTTAATTAAAATTTATGAAATTAAGGAGTTAGTTTTATTTCACTTTTGGTGATTTAAGGTCATTTGAAATATGATGTTTTGAAAACAATTATATAATAATATAATATATAATATATATATAGGTAAGTATAATATAACAGTATAACTATAACACTTATAGTATGTGAATATAATAGTACCTATAATTATTTTTTCCCATAAAATATTGGTTGCAATTTCATCTTATAACATAAATTCGAATAAAAGTATCTTTTCCACCAACCATGTCGATACATCATTGCCTATTAATGCCATACGATTTCAGCTAGACAGTGCAAAACATTCATTGGTCTAATAATAATCATATTTACAAATTAAGTCATATGCACATAAAACTACAATATTTATCTATGATAATGACACGGTTATAATTAAAAAGTTATACACAATTATTACATAACGATAACGTTAGTTTATGATTTATCTTTTATCGACAAAATTAACGAAACAATGAAATAGGAATATATTTTAATAGAACCAAAGTTCAGCTTCAGCAGGTGCCAAAGCATACCAGGACATACCAATAATAACGGCAATAACCAGCATGCAGAGGGCACAATATTACCGTAATTACGTCACTGAGGTCCACTGTATATAACTTTTTAAGTATGAAATGTTCTTTTAACGATTTAAAATTCTACTGTTATCAATAAATTATAATATTATGATTATTAACAAGTATGGGACGTATATAATTATATACATATAATTGATACCGGCTACTGGAATTAATCTCCACCCACAGTATAAACCCACGCCACTAAAATATTATTCAAAGCTTATAACTGCCGATGAACGACGATCGTGCTATACTGTTTGCAGATCGCCCGAAGCCCGAATACCTAGTATAACGGCTATAACTATGTATAATATTATTATGTGTACAACTATATTCGACAACCGTTCTCGTCGATCGTCGTCGAACAAACGAACCGTGAATCGGGCGTAATATAATTATAATAATAATAATATTATGATCGCGCATCGTATTATATATTGTAAAGTTGTCCAGCTAATTCGGCATAACAACCGGCCGGAGACGACTCTCTCTCTCTCTCTCTCTTTCTATAATAGTCTCCACAATCTCGACATTGACATTGGGACGTAGGTACTCGGCACCGGTCGAACACTTCACCGCCGACGAGCATACTGTCTAGGTAATTCGTGCATAATAATTACGTGCAAAGCGTATGATCGTGTACACTGTACACCACTTGTACTTAAATCGTGATTTCCGTACGGCTAATGACACTTTTCGGAAAAACCGCCATGGCCGCGACGTATATTGCAGGACTATACGGCATCAAATATTAATATGTTTGTTCACTCGGAACGAATTAACGAGCACCTAATTGATTACCTATAGGTATCCTATATGTATTTTGAGTTTTAAATTCAATTAATATTGCTAGGCATGGGATACGGAATTCAGTGATATTTTTTCCACTGACGGTTGATGATTTGTAATCTGTAAACCGGTTTCCGTAAGTTCTGCCGTCAATTCCATATCCGATACCGATTTAAATATCTTTATTATTGAACTTCAGTGTTTCGTTTATATATATTTTCTTTATAGTTTACCTATTTGGACGTTGTATTACACCTACCTATAATATTAATATTATATACTCACCAGAGTACCTATTATTATATTATTTTAAGAGATTCTAGGAGTATTAGATTTGTGTAAAATCAACAACGAAAATTTGTATGATATCCCTCCCCCACTTGTGCCTTTTCTGCTTCCACTTCTGCCTGTATCCAATGTATCAGATATCTTGTTGAAAGACATGGCCCGTTTTGTTACCGTGCAAGTAATCCACACATGCACGCATCGTTAAAACGTAAAACCTAACTCTGTGCGACGTTTTTAATTCTTTTATTTTTTTGTCCATAAGTTATTTTGCCATTGGTTGACGTTAGTAAAACGCCACCGATTATAAAAAGACGGCTCTCATTTGCATAGGCAAATGATTTGTGTAATCGCTTCAACTAGAACTTTTTCACTATTAAAAATAAAGAAAAATAAATATTCAACCGAACGCTATGAAATCAATATTTTATAAATATCATTCACTACCATTCCTGTATTTTGATCTATAAACCAATCAAAGTATATAAATTAATGAAATAATAACAGATAGGTACTAATGTACCTACTATAATAATATCAACATAATAAAATGTTTACCAACACCTACAAAAATATTCAATAAATATAAATATTTATAAAAAACTTTTATTATTAAATAACAATTTTTTTTTTGGTTTTTTTTTCAGATTGACCAGATGTTTATACAGAAATATTACATTTTAAATT